AAGGTGATCCTCCACCCACCTTGGCCTCCCAAAGTGCTGGGATTACAAGCGTGAGCCACCGTGCCTGGCCCCCTCTTCACTCTTTATACCCATGACCTCTTTCCTCTTCACTCTTTATACCCATGACCACCAAGCTCTGGCACATAGTAGAGTTTCAGTAGGTACTTGAATGAGTGGCCTAGATAAAAGAATGAGTGCTCCACTGTGAAACTAGAAAGGTGCTGGGGCTTGAAGGAGGAGAGAATTTTGATGAGCAGGGAGGAAGAGGAGAAAGGTTGAATTGCAGTTGATCACATATGGAGTTAGCTTCTTAATCATAGTAGTGAGTTCTCTAGTGCTGTTTTCTGACCTTTGAATTTGTATATTTTTCCATTTTTGTTATAAATGCTGCCTGAATGAGACACATTTTGGTGAAACTTCGGATATTCTCTCAAATAAAACTTCTGTATAGGGTATAGTATGGATAGTATAGGTACCCGATAGAAAATAGGGCCATTTTTGGAGACAGTTGTATGGTATAGGCAAGGATTTTTAGACAAAAGGACAGAAGACTCCATTCTTATTCTTACTCTGCTGCTAATTACATCTGTGACCTTAGGTGAGTCCTCAAAAACTCACTGTGCTTTTTTATGCTATACAGTCTTTTCAGTCCTTTCCAGTTCTGTTTTGAAACCAGTACAAATCTTTATGCAGGCTTCAAAATAAATTTTCTTCTTGACTTGGGTGTTAGTTACAAGATTGTTTATAGTAATTCATTAAATTGTGTATTTATGTTTTATATGATTTTCTGTATGTGTTATTACACAGCTAAGAGGATTTAAAAAACCCACAAAAGACGTGTTTCCTACATCTCTCCATATACCAAAAGAAAATTCCAGATGGATCAAAGACTTGAATGCAGAAAGCAAAATCATAAGTGTGCTTGGAAGAAAACATAGATAAATAAACCTTGCAGGAGTCTCCAGGTTCACTCCTAGCTTCAGTGATTGTCTAGTAGGACTCACAGACCTCAGCATATATTTGTACTCTTAGCTAAGATTTAGTATAGCAGGGTCACCAAAGGGAAAAGGCATGTGAGTGGAGTCTGGAGGAAACCAAGTGCAAGCTTCTAAGAACCTCCTGGTGGAGTCACATAGGACATGCTTGATTCCTCCAGAAGTGAGTTTTGACAACAGGTGTGAAATGGTATCCACCAGAGATGTTCATCAGAGACTTGATGCCTCAGGTTTTTGTTTGGGGCTGGTCGTGTTGGTACCTTCTTCCTAAAATGTACTAAAACTCCTCCTTGAAGGGAAGCTGTTGTTCAGCATAAACAACGTTGTTTGTACAGATAGGCACACTAAGAGTGAACCACTCTTAACAGTTCTGGGAGTGGTGAAAACCCTGCTGAAATCCAAGTTTCCAGATGCCAGCCAAGGGGCAGGCTCAGTTAGAAAGCAAGCCTTTCTACAGGTAGCAGTGTTAGGTCTGTGTTAACTCTTTTCTGCACAATACAATATTTTAAAAAAACCTTGCAGTGAAAATGGCTTTTCTAAGCATAACTAGAAACTCAGAAGTCCTATAAGGAAGGAATGGTAAGTTTAACTATACTCAAAAAAACTTAGGCTGGGTGCGATGGCTCATACTTGTAATCCCAGCAGTTTGGGAGTCCAGGGATTCAAGACCAGCCTGGGGAACACAGTGAGACTGTCTCTTCAAAAAATAAGACATCAACTGGGTGTGTTGGCATATGCCTGTAGTCCCAGCTACTTGGGAGGCTGAAGTAGGAGAATACCTTGAGCCCAGGAGGTTGAGGCTGCAGTGAGTCATGATAGCACCGCTGTACTCAAGCCTGGGCAACAGCAAGACTCTGTCTTATTAGAAAAAAAAAAAAAAAGGAAAAGAAAGAAAAATTTAGTAGTTGGCTGTATCTGTAGATATTGATGTTTCTTCCTTTTTGTGAAATTTGAACAAGATTATCTTTTATTTAAGTATAGATGCGCCTGTAAAGATGGTCTAACAGCGTTAAATTGATTCACTTCAAAGCAGATAAAAGACTTTACCTCTTCCTCTGGTGTACCCAGCCTGTATTAGCGGGACCCTCACACATGGGGGTTGCTGCTCTTTCTTCCCATTACCATGTTCTCATAATTTTATTGTGCTTAGGGTGTTACATTTGCCTGTCTCGTGAGGGAGGGAAGATGTTAGGTACTATACTGGGCATACATAGGAAGCATCCAAATGATGGCATGAAAAGTAACAGGGACTAGATATTCCACCTGCGCCACCCACCCCCGGGTTTCTTTAACTGTGACAGAGATTCTCTAGGTCGATTTATTATGAGTTTAAGTTTCTGCCTTTGTCCACATAACAGTTCTTTCTGGTTTCTGTAGCTCAAATTCGTAGGCAGTTTCTCTTACGGCCTAAGAGCTGTAAGGCACTAAGGAGCTGTTCCTTTATTTGTAACTTCCGGAAACACTGAGTTGAACTCAGCCTTCCTGAGAACTCCTTTTACAGCAACATTCAGCATTTATCAAATAGAATCACTGTATGGTAGTCTCAGAACATGCCTGTCTTTCTTTTCTCCATCCCTTCTCTCTTTTTATTATAATTTTTTAAACTAAATTTGAGACTTTATTTGGATTTTACTAGTTTTTCCATTAATGTCCTTTTTCCCCCCACCAAGATCCTGTGCAAGGTACCATTTAGTTGTAATGTTTCCTAGCCTTCTCTGGTCTGATACAGTTTTTTAGTCTTTTCTTATTTTTCATGGTCTTGAAAGTCTTGAGGAGTACTGGCCAGATGTCTTATAGGCGTGTCCCCCAGTTTGGTTTTTTTTGTTGTTTTACTTATGATTTGATTTGGGTTATGGATTTTTGTGATGAATACCAGAGAGGTAAAATGCCTTTCTTGTCACATCATTTCAGGGACACATATCTGCATGACATCATGAGGTTAACCTTCTTCACTGGACTAAGATAATATTTGGCAGTTTACTGTGAAGTTAACATTTCTCCCTTTTTTGTATTCTAAGGAAGCAGTCACTAAATATAGTCTACCCTCAAGCGGGGGGGTGGGCAGGAATTAAGCTCCACCTCCTGTAGGGGGAAATAGCCACATATATTATTTTGAATTCTAGTGTAAGAAAAATTTGGCTCCTTCCCACCAGTTTCTTTTATCATTCAATAATTATTTCCAACTGTATGGACTCATGTAGATTTATATTTTGGCTTATAATCCAATACTGTTTCTTATTTTGTTCTTTCTATTGTCATGGCTTGGGCCATTAGGAGTTCTTTCAGGTTGATTCCTGTATCCCGTTGACTTGTTCCATTTCTTTATTTTTGAGACAGGGTCTTACTGTGTCACCCAGGCTGGAGTGCAGTGACACCATCACGGCTCACTGTATGCAGCCTCAGCCTCCCAGGCCCAAGCAATTCTCCTACCTCAGCCTCTGGAGCAACTGGGTCCATAGGTACTTGCCACCGCCTGGCTAATTTTTTCTTTTTTTTCTGTAGAGACGGGGTGTCTCTATGTTGACCAGGCTGGTCTTGAACTCCTGGCCTCAAGTGATCCTCCCTCTTTAGTCTCTCAAAGTGTTGGGATTGAGACACCTTTCCTGACCCTGTGTTCCATTTACTTTTAGGCACTACAAGATGCTTCAGACGCGTCTTGTTTTTGCCCGGCCCCAAGCCTTAGACCCAGCCATTTTTCCAGGGAGGTTGGTTCCTTTTACTGGAGAATGGTATTGAAAAGCAAGATCAATTCTGGGTGTTGGGTGTGCTTCTTGCTACTCAGGATTGATCAATCGATCTGTTCATCTGTCTATCTATGTACCTATCTGTATCTCTGTCATTGATTAATCTGTTGAGCAATCTATATCTATCTAAGCTATCTTTCTTTAGAAAATTATTGTGGAAAATTTCTGGCAGATACAATAGTAATTCTCAGTATCTGTCATGAAGCTTGAATAATTATCAATTAGTGGTCAGGCTTGGTTTTAGTTATATAACTCCTTCCGAGTGTCTCCTCATTATTTAAAGAAAATTCCAGTAGCTATTATTTCACCTGCAAATATTACCATCTTTTTATCTTTAAAAAAATGACTCCTTTAAATATATTTTTTAAATTGAAGTATAGTAGGTACAGTAGAAGGTATGAACATATAGAGCTTGATACATTTTTATAAATGTATTTATCTCTGTAATCATCACCCAGATCTAAATATAGAACATTTTTAGCTCTCTATAAAGCTCCCTAATTGCCATTGACAATTTTTGTAGGGACCTTTAAAAAACAAACATAACCACAATACCATTATAGTACCTAAAACCATTTTAACAGTAATTCCTTAAAATCAAATATCTGGTTGTTTGCGTATGCTCCCATTTACCCCCTCCTTCCTTCTTGCCCCTGCAGTGTACTGGTTGAAGAAGTTGCCTGGTCTGTAGTTTATCACAGTCTGGGTTTTGCTGAGAGCATCCCCATGGTGTCATTTAACATGTGTGTCTCATAGTGGCTTTCTTGGGGAAACTTGGATGTGTGTTTCTAACTAGGTAACCCTAACACAGTAATGTGCAGTGATTCTGTCTTTGGAGAAACTTCATCAGTAAGATGATTTCACCAGGATAGATACATTTTCCCTAATATCTAATGGTATCTGATTAAAGTTTTGCTGCCTTGTTCTACTACTTAGTTCCAGAAAATGCCTTCAGAAATCCTGTATGCTTTCTAGTATCCATTTCCTTTAGAAAAACTGAATAACGTTGCATGTGGGAGAAAATTCTGTTATTCTTGGTTTTGTTTTCCTCCATTCTAAAGGGTAGATCAGGATAGTACAATTAACCTTTTTGATGATGTTTTGTAGCTGTGTCAAAGTCATCTGTACAGGGCTAGCTATGGTTGAAGTTCTGACTGAAGGATTGCAGTACAGAAAAAAGGAATAAGCTATAAAAATAATTGGTCTTGGTTGTGTTTGGTTTGCTAAGTTCTCTCTCTTTTTTTTTCCTTTTATGTTATAGATCAGCTTGAACGGGTCTTTTTACGACTTGGCCATGCTGAAACAGATGAACAATTACAGAATATTATATCTAAATTCCTTCCTCCTGTTTTGCTCAAACTGTCTAGCACCCAAGAAGGAGTACGTAAAAAGGTAAGCATGCTGGGACAGCTGGGGGAATTTAATGATGAATAAATGAATATACATTTTTCAAGTGAGTTTTCTATTCCTATTATTGAAATCTAGGTTTGTGATCTTAATTATGGCCTTTCAAAATGCAGAGTAAATCTAGAACCAGCTTTTATGTTTTAAAAGTAGCTTTTGTATGCTTTGCACAGCTGCCTTTAGCACCAACTAGATACTTGGCATCAGTGCCAGATAATATAGTTGAGATAATTATTCTGGAATGTATGGAGGCATGATCTGAAATCCATGCCCTTGATTCCAGAATGAAAGTCAAGTGGTAATGGGGCAAAAATACTCTTTAGTTACTGGTTGACAATGAATATAACCATAACTAAAATTAAGCAAAATAAAAAATATTTAAGCAAAATACTGTATAGCTCCTGTTTTAGGATTCTGCAAAGTACTCTTACAAAAGTTGGATAACTGTCACATCAGTATCATCATCATCATCATCTCCTCCACCTCCTCTCCCCCCTCCCCTCCCCCTCCTTCTCTCCCTCCTCCTCTCCCTCCTCCTCCCCCTCCCCCTCTCCTCCTCCTCCTCTCCTCCTCCTCCTGCTCCTCCTCTCTCTCCTCTCTTTCTCTGTCTCTGTCTGTCTGTCTGTCTCTCTCTTTCTCTCTCTCTCTCTTCCCCCTGTCTTCTCTATTCTCTTTTCTTTTTTTTTCTTTTGAGCTAGGGTCTCACTGTGTTGCCCAGGTTGGAGTGCAGTGACACAGTCACAGCTTACAATAATCTCAATCTTCTGGGCTTTGACGATCTTCCGACCTCAGCCTCCCAAGTAGGTGGGACTATAAGTGCAGACCACTGTGCCCAGCTAATGTTTAAATTTTTTGTAGAGACAGGGTTTCACTTTGTTATCCAGACTAGTCTCAAACTCCTGGGCTCAAGCAATCTGCCTGTTTCAGTCTCCCAAAGTGCTAGGATTGCAGGCATGAGCCAGTTGCCTGGCCAGTATTTTCATTTTTTAACCCAGCTGTTCTACATGGAACATTTTCCTTTTGATTTGTAGAATGGTTCATTAGTCTTCCAGTATATTTATAGTAGATCATCCAGTCTTTGAGCTGTGGTCAGGTTTTATTCCTTGGGCCACTCTAACTGGCAGTGACTTCCTGGAGGTCTGTCCTGAGAGGGATTCCAAGGTCTGATTTGGGTTCAGTGCAGAAAAAGTATTTTTTTTTTTTTTTTTTTTGAGACGGAGTTTCGCTCTTGTTACCCAGGCTGGAGTGCAATGGCGCGATCTCGGCTCACCGCAACCTCCGCCTCCTGGGTTCAGGTAATTCTCCTGCCTCAGCCTCCTGAGTAGCTTGGATTACAGGCATATGCCACCATGCCCAGCTACTTTTTTTTGTATTTTTAGTAGAGACGGGGTTTCACCATATCGACCAGGACGGTCTCGATCTCTTGACCTCGTGATCCACCCGCCTCGGCCTCCCAAAGTGCTGGGATTACAGGCTTGAGCCACCGCGCCCGGCCAGAAAGAGTATCTTTAAGAATGTCTCTTATGTTTATGTCTCTTTACAGGAGGGAATGGGCATTCTTGTCATGTATTTGACATGTCTGCTGTTAATCCTTTGCTGAGATAGACATGCATTTGATTATGTCACTCTTCTATTTAAAACTCTCCTGTGGCCTTCTCTTACCCTTAGGATAGCAAGGTCTAAAAGGCCCTTTATGAGTTGACTTCTGTTTACTTACCTAGCTTTATCAGTTTCTTTATTCATTTAGCAAATATTTACTGAGGGCCTTCTATATGCCAGGTCCTGGGGATGTGGTGATGAGTGATGACAATACCTAGTTGGGGGAAATCAGTATAAAACCGTCAGGCAAGTAGTACATAGTTAAAATTTTTGATACATGCCAGATGGAAAAGAAAAAGATTTTATGAAAGAATATAGTTGGGACATAATTTAGACTAAGTGTGGGGTGTAAGGGAGGCCTCTGTGTTGTGCAGGAATTAGCCAGGCAGAGAGATGGGGAGACCATTAAGGATAGAGAGGCCCTGTGCAGGTGTTATGAGCTGGGACAGAGTGTGATGCCTTTAGGAAATTGGAGAAGACCATAGTGATGTCCCCAGTGCATGAGAGGAAGCCTGATAGGAGGAAAGAAGTATTCCAGGGGCACTGATTTGAAAGGGTGTGATGGTATTGCCACCATCACTAGCTGTTGGCTGGAGAAGTACTTGGAGTAGAGGCCAAGAGTGGAGACCTGGAGGACAAACAGGGAACTTTTCCATTAGTCCAGGCTGAGTATTGTCAGTAGTTTTAACTCATTTATATCTTAGAATTTTTTTTGTTTTTTTGCATTTTATCTTTTAATAGGAAGTCATTCATCTCTGTCCATCTACTTTAATGTTCAGTTGTGTATCATTCACTTCTATCATACTATTATTCTTTTTTTAAAAAATAAATTTTATTATGTATGTTCGAGGTTTGCAACATGATTTTATGGAATACATATAGATTTTAAATGTTTACCGAAGCAGATGAGCATGTCTATCTCACGTAACTTTTTACTTTTATTCTTAATATATTCTTTTTTTTTTTTTTTTGAGACGGAGTTTTGCTCTTGTTACCCAGGCTGGAGTGCAATGGCACGATCTCGGCTCACTGTAACCTCCACCTCCTGGGTTCAGGCAATTCTCCTGCCTCAGCCTCCTGAGTAGCTGGGATTACAGGCACGCGCCACCATGCCCAGCTAATTTTTTGTATTTTTAGTAGAGACAGGGTTTCACCATGTTGACCAGGATGGTCTCGATCTCTCGACCTCGTGATCCACCCGCCTCGGCCTCCCAAAGTGCTGGGATTACAGGCTTGAGCCACTGCGCCCGGCCCGGCTTCTTAATATATTCTTAATAGTCCCATTATTTCGAATGGGAAATTCTCTTGTTTCTGATTTTATTATTACTGCCAAAGTTTTAACCTTTTAATGGCCATTTTAAAAAGAAACCCAGCTTTTAGATTAATTTTCCCTTCCTAACTGTAGTTTTTTTCTATTTTTATTCAAATTATTTTCTTTTTTGGATATGTTTTTCTTGTGTAAAGTTTTAATTTATATAATAACCTGGAAATTGTTCTTTTTTTTTTTTTTTGAGACGGAGTTTCGCTCTTGTTACCCAGGCTGGAGTGCAACGGCGCGATCTCGGCTCACCACATCCTCCACCTCCTGGGTTCAGGCAATTCTCCTGCCTCAGCCTCCTGAGTAGCTGGGATTACAGGCACATGCCACCATGCCCAGCTAATTTTTTGTATTTTTAGTAGAGACGGGGTTTCACCATGTTGACCAGGATGGTCTCGATCTCTTGACCTCGTGATCCACCCACCTCGGCCTCCCAAAGTGCTGGGATTACAGGCTTGAGCCACCGCGCCCGGCCTAACCTGGCAATTGTTCTTATGTATCAAGAGAAGTGCTAAGGAGGTAGGCATTTTCTCTATTTTACAGATAAAGCTGAGGCTTGGAATGATTAATGAACTTGTTTAAGGTCAGATAACAAAGGGTTGGGTCAGGATTCGAACCCAGGGCTTTTGAGCTTCAAAATGTAACCTTGGCTGTCAAGTTAAATGCTTTATTCTTTAATTATTATATATATATATATATTTTTAATGACCTCAGCTTATGAATTTCTCGTTGATGATTATTTTAGTTATTTAACTAGTTATATTGATGTGCAGTTTGATTTTTGACTTAATTTATAAGAGTTGATTTTAGTTTCAAAATATTTGATATAAAGTTTGCCTGGTTTTATTGCATTCTGGTCAGATAACCATAGTGTGCAAATGTTACAGTCTGTCAAAGTGTATTCTAACGTTTGTAAGAAAAAGTTTTCAGAAGGTAGAAAGAATACTTCCTGCTTGTGGAATATGGAGCTCAGCATGTGCCAAGGCCATTCATTAGTAACATTATGCATTTATGTCTTGAACCTGCTTTTCAGACCTATTATGAGTTGGTAGTATTGAAGAGTAATGTCCTACTGCTGTTGCAGTTTTTCTGTATTTCTTTAAGTTTTTATAATGTTGACTTGGTGCATTTTGATGTACAAATTTAACATCTTGACTTTATTAATAATTATAGTATTTTATATATTTTTTTTATCTTTTGAATTCCTTTTAAGGTTTTTTTTTTCAAAACCCATTTTATCTGAAGTTAGTATTGTTAACCATTGTTTTCCTTCTGTCTCTCTGATAAATCTTTGCCCCAGCCTACAATTTTAACCTTATTTACTTTGGCTGTATCTCTTAGTACAATGGAAATGTCACATATTTTTGAAGTTTGAGTTGAGGGCATTTACATCAGTTATTGTGGTTATTAACCTATTTAAAAATTTTTAAGAATTTTAATTGATACATAATTATATATTTGTGGGGCATGTGTGATATTTTGATACATGTATGTAATATGTAATAATTAAATCAGTATTTAGGAGACTCATCACCTCATTTATTGTTACTTTGGGTTGGGAACATTTTAGATCTTCTAGCTCTTTTGAAATGTACATGATTATTAACCTATTTTATCACTTGATTTATTCGTCCTCTCCCTTTCTCCCTTTGTTTCCTTCTCATTCTTTCTCTCTCACTTTCTTGTTATCTAACTGTCAACACTGGTGTCTTCAAGGGGCTGTGAAAGGACAAGGGAAAAGTTTTGCTTAAGACTTCTCACTTGATTTACTACAATAAATGTATCTTTCTTTTTTTTTTTTTTCGAGACGGCATTTCACTCTTGTTGCCAAGCTGGAATGCAGTGGTCAATCTTAGCTCACTGCAACCTCCACCTCCCGGGTTCAAGCAATTCTCCTGCCTCAGCCTCCCGAGTAGCTGGGATTACAGGCACCTGCCACCATGCCCAGCTAATTTTTGTATTTTTTGTAAACATGGAGTTTCACTATGTTGGCCAGACTGGTCTTGAACTCCTGACCTCAGGTGATCCGCCTGCCTTGGCTTCCCAAAGTGCTGGGATTGCAGGTGTGAGCCACTGCCCACAGCCATAAATGTATCTTTCTATTATAACTTTAAAAAGCAATAAAACAGAATAAGGTAATAAGGATAAACATAATCATTTTGAACTTAATATATTAAATTTTAACTAATAAAATGGTATTTTTATTTGTGCATGTCAAATTGGTTAAGTTTAAAAGCTTTTGGAGAAAGGGAAATGGAATCAAACAGCTGAAATAGCCTGTTTTATTTTAAGCATTGTATTCAATTCTTTGACTTATCTTTTCATTTAATCTTTACAGTAGCCTTTGAAATGTTATTTGAATTCCACAAGTGATTTTTAAATTTTTGTTGGTTTATAGATATAACCATATTTAGGAAATTCATCAATATTTAACATGATAATAATAATAGTAGAAAATTAAGTAATTAATCCATTTAAAATTCAAAATAGGCCAAGTACAGTGGCTCACGCCTGTAATTCCAGCACTCTGGGAGGCTGGGAAGATGGTTTGAGATGAGCCTAGGCAACATAGCGAGATCTTACTAATACCAAAAAAAAAGAAAGAGAAAAAAGCCATGCATGGTAGCATGTGCTTGTAGTCCCAGCTACTGCAGAGGCTGAGATAGGAAGATTGCTTGAGACTAGGAGTTGAAGGCTGCAGTTGGCTATGATAATGCCACTGAATTCCAGACTGGGTGGCAGAGTGAGACCCTGTCTCAAAAAAACAAAACAAAACAAAAAAATAAATTTATTATTTAAAAAAAAGCATGTAATTGTGGGCAGGATTCTCTATCACCATCGATAATAATTTGCTAGAGTCCCTCTAGGAATCAGCCTAGATTAGAATGTCAGAAGAGGACTCTTTCCTTTAGACTAGTTCCTCCTGATTCTTTTCTCTTGTTGCCTAACAGTATCACAGATCCAGGACAGGTAGGAAGTTCATATGAAGTATGGATGGCAATGCAAATTTCTAGCTTCTTGGAAGGTATCATGTCTCACTGACACTTTTGCTGATGTGAGTTCAAATATCAGTGTTTGAAAAGGTTAAAAAAAATGGGCTCTGGCGTCATATGTTGACTTTTGCCACTTGCTGACCTAGTATCTTGGGACAAGTTACTTTACTTGAGGCTTCTGCTTCCTCATCTGTAAAATGGGAATGACACCACCTCACTGGTTGTCATGAGACTCACATTAGATAAGGAGTGCTTGGGGGCAGAGTGCATAGGAACTGTGTGATAAATGTTAGCTATTTTATTATTACTGTTTTATCATTCATTTAACAAACGTTGATTATAGATTTGTTTTGATTTTTAAATGTAATTCACCTGTTTCATTATTGCTCTAGATCTCTTGGAATTTTTGCTGTTACTGTCAAACATCCCTACAGGTTTCCTTGTGTATACTTTGAGGCTAGAGCACAAATTTCAGAAATGAGGGAGAATAGTGTAAACCTGGCCCTGCAGAATAATTATCTTAAACTCTTGAGTCTTTCTTAGGCAAGACCTTTTAAAAATCTTATTTCCAATGCTCGATTTCTTCTCTTTTGGCAAACAATCTTTTGATGGTAGTATGCTTGAGGCCACTTGATATGAACCTCTCTACATCCCTTTGTACCCGTGCAAAGTGTTGACTTGTCAATTCCTATTTTTGCTCTCTTTTCCCACTTAAAGGAGAGAAAGCTTGTTTCTTACAAATTATTTGACAGTATCGATGATCTTCAGAATACAATAGAAATGCCTCAGTTTTTGCCAGAATCTGTTTGTAATCCAGACCCTGCTTTTCTGAACTCTATGGGCTTCTGTCAAATGCGTTGTGCCCTATACCTTCTTATAACTGATACTTTGGTTGTAATTCTTTCAATCTTCAGGACCCAGTGTTCCTGTCACTTCTTCTTTGAAGTCTTTCTTGATGTGGGAGATACTTTCTCTTCTGGAAACCCATTGTATCTTGTGTTTCTCTCTTTTCATAGTATTCATGGTATGTTGCAATAATCTGTTCATCTTGGGGGACTATGCTTCAGTCTAGGCCCAAGTTGGACCTCAACTTTGTTTAACTAAAGGACATTGTAAAAATAAATTCACTTGGCCAGGCATGGTGGCTCACACCTGTAATCCCAGCTACTTGGGAGGCTGAGGTAGGGGAATTGCTTGAACTCAGAAGGTGGAGGTTGCAATGAGCTGAGATCATGCCACTGCACTCTAGCCTGGGCAACAGAGCGAGACTCTGTCTCGGGGAGAAAAAAAAAAAGGTAAATTCACGAGTGCATAGATATTTGGGAGACAGCATTTTTGAACAAGACTCATGTAGTATATACTCCATTTCTGGGACGTGGAATTTGCACTCTTTAAAAGAACAAAGTAGCTACTATTCACTAACATAGATAACATCTGAGAAATGAATTTTAAGATGAGTAGTTTTTAAGATATGATCAGTGACTTCAGTTCCCATCTCTTTGTATTTTAGGTAATGGAACTGCTGGTCCATCTGAATAAACGTATAAAAAGCCGCCCCAAAATACAGCTTCCAGTAGAGACACTGTTGGTTCAGTACCAGGACCCTGCTGCAGTTTCCTTTGTCACAGTGAGTATCGTATTGGAATATTTTCTGACTTACAGCAAGTTTTCTTTCATAACATTTATCAGATGTCATTGACATATTGGCAAGCTTAGAATTTCACCATAGACCACTTCTAAATGAAACATGAGGAGATATTTTTCTTTAAATTACACACTGTTTTTCCACTGAGTACCAATCCAGAGGAAATGCTGCGTTAAAGGAAATGGTAGGAAGAGAGTAATGAATGGCTGTTTACATTGGGCAAAGGAATGTTGGTGAAATGACTTTTCAGGTATGTTACATAAAAGAATGATTTGATTTTTGGTTAGAGACTATGTGAGATGGGTCTGATAGAAAGAAGGGTTATGCAGCTTAGGCACGAATAAAGCATAATGGAAGAAAAAAGCGAGTAAAATGGCAAGAAGATACATGAAAGTGAGCTTAAAAAAATTGTGTTTTTGATGTGTATATTCAGAAAGGTATCCTTTTTTTAAAGTGGAGTAAATCTGAGGCTGGTAAGAAACGTTCCTTTTAAATTGTTGTCTTCATGAAAATTAAATGTAAAAAATGTTGATCCTGTGTGATGGCAGGTGATATTTTTTTCCTGGTCCTTATAGTTCCCAGCATTCAGACAGAATTGATTGAATCTTATCTAACATCTGGAGTCACAAAACTTTTGGAGCTACCTATTGGTCCAGACATCATTTTGTCTGTTCCTGTTCTGGCTGTTTGGCTCAATTACGCATGTTGATTTCTTTAAGCAAATAGGAACACTGTGTGCCAGTAAAAATGTCAAATAGAATTTATTTAAAGAAATCATGTTATGAAGCCCATTTACTTTAGTAAAGAATTCATCAGAGCCTGGGCACGGTGGCTCATGCCTGTAATCTCAGCACTTTGGGAAGCCGAGGTGGGTGGATCACGAGGCAGGTGGATCACAAGGCAGGTGGATCACAAGGTCGGGAGTACAAGACCAGCCTGGCCAACATAGTGAAACCTCATCTCTACTAAAAATACAAAAACTAACCTGGCATGGTGGCGCATACCTGTAGTCCCAGCTACTCAGGAGGCTGAGGCAGGAGAATCACTTGAACCAGGGAGGTGGAGGTTGTAGTGAGCCGAGATCGCACCACCGTACTGCAGCCTGGGTGACAGAGTGAGACTCCGTCTCCAGTGGGGAAACAACAACAAAAAAAAACAGTTATTCAGAAAAGCAAATCTTCATCTTATGTGTAAATCCAGACTGTATTTATGGGTTTGCTTAAAATCCAGTATTCACACAGATTATAGTGATACAAGTTGAGTATCCCTTATTTGAAATGCTTGGGACCGTAAGTGTTTTGGATTTTGGAATATTTGACCTGATTTAGCATCCCAAATCCAAAATCTCAGATACCCTAATGAGCATTGCCTTTGTGGGTCTTGCAGGCTGGCACTCATGAAGTTTCAGATTTTGTAGCATTTCGAATTTAGGATTTTCAGACTTGTGATTCTCCACCTTGCACAAATACAAAGCACTCAGTTTCCTTTGGTTCATCATGCATTGGTGAGTTACTAGAGTGAGGAACCACAGAGTGCTGCAGTATACTAAGGTTGTTTTAGTCATTTGGCCAGTTGGGAAATGGCAGCCTAGCATTTGTCAAGCCCAGCTTGTAAGGATTAATGCAACAAACTGGGAGATCTGATGATAATGTGTAGTGTGTAGGTGTAAATAGGTTGATTTTTTTTCTTATTCTCTGTGATAAGAAATTGCATATATGAATGCTTTAGATTAGGCCATACTTCCTCACGTGAGGCCTGTGTTAAAGCAAGTGTTTGGAATAAGCTGGACTGGAATTCTTTCTCTGAGATACAGTAGTTGGTAAAGGTGTAATAAACATGTGGAGGGAGGATGATTCATGTTTACAATGTGTTTTTGTAACCATAACTCTCTTAAGTTATCAATTTTCATTGAAATCACAGAGTATTTCCTTGACACTGACTTGCTTTTCTCTTATTGCATTAGAATTTTACTATAATTTATGTTAAAATGGGCTATCCTCGCCTACCAGTGGAAAAACAATGTGAACTGGCCCCTACGCTTCTTACTGCCATGGAAGGGAAGCCTCAGCCACAGCAGGATAGGTATGGTTTCCTCAATTCTAATTTCCCTCCTGCAGGAGTCAACAACTGCCTTTCAAATGTTAGTTCACACATTTGGTTTTACTTGGGCAAATGGGGGGGTCTTGAACTGCTTTAGCTGACAAGAGTTTTCTGTAGTACCTCAAAGTTACTGTTTTATTAATAACTATCATAAAATTTCTTGATGTGAACATTGAAAAATATGTAGAACTAACAACATTTATCTAAGTCTATCCATTTTTTTGCCTAGTTATCTTGAGGCAGTTAATTTTACGTGATTGCAAAAATTACAGTTAAAAATCATTTGCATCAAAACATTTCTATCTTGGATGATATAAAGTTTCAGGGTGGTTTTCTTTTTTTTCTTTTTTTTTTTTTTGAAACAGTTTTGCTCTTGTTACCCAGGCTGGAGTGCAATGGCGCGATCTCGGCTCACCGCAACCTCCGCCTCCTGGGTTCAGGCAATTCTCCTGCCTCAGCCTCCTGAGTAGCTGAGATTACAGGCACACGTCACCATGCCCAGCTAATTTTTTGTATTTTTAGGAGAGACGGGGTTTCACCATGTTGACCAGGATGGTCTCGGTCTCTTGACCTTATGATCCACCCACCTCGGCCTCCCAAAGTGCTGGGATTACAGGCTTGAGCCACCGTGCCCGGCCCCAGGGTGGTTTTCTTAAGGAACAGAGCGCTTGTTTGTATTAATGTGGGAACTGGAGAGGTGGAAAGGTTTTTAGATAACATCACTTGTTTCTAGGCTTAGCCAAAAGTTCTTTGTTGTAGCCCTGTCATAGTGAGAATCATGATGAAGAGTGAAGAAGTGTAGAGGAAAGATGGAGTTAAATCATGTTTTCTGTTCACCTTTTAGAGCATATTTATTTTTAAAGAAAGACAGTAATACAGAAGTTTACAAGTAAAATTAATAGACATTACAAGCATAGTTTGAAATTGTTTTCATATGTTTTAAGAGTATCAAAAGGTGTTAGTGAAAGGAAATGTTAATATTGTATTAAAATATTAATATGGTTGATTTTTTAATTTTTAAAATTTAGAATAACTTTAGTTGTGGGAAATAATTTTTTTTTTTTTTAGACAAGAGTCTCACTCTGTTGCCCAGGCTTCAGTATAGTGGCACAATCTTGGTGCACTGCAACCTCTGCCTTCTGAGTTAAAGTGATTCTCTTGCCTCAGCCTCCTGAGTAGCTGGGATTACAGGCACCTGCCACTATGCCCGGCTAACTTTTTGTATTTTTAGTCGAGACAGGGGTTTCACCATGTTTGCCAGGCTGGTCTCGAACTCCTGACTTCAAATCATTTGCCCATCTTGGTCAGGTGCGGTGGCTCACTCCTGTAATCCCAGCACCTTGGCTTCCCAAAGTGCTGGGATTATAGATGTGAGCCATTGCACCCGACCAAAAATAATTTTTTTTGAAAAGACAAGTTATAAGTTGAACTTTACTTAAGATTTAATATAAAATCTCTTGTGGAAACTTCAGATACTAACATTGAACCCATTTTATGTATTTTTTTCATATAATTTTAGTGATGAGCCAGATTGGCTAAATGCTAATCATTACTCACTATATTGAGCTTTCAATAAGAAGGAAATCTAGGCCAGTCCCTAGATTAGGACTTTGTAAGTCAGTGGTATTGAAAATCAGTGTCTCTTGCTTACAACTGCCAGTTTTTGTTATGTGATTTTTGTCTGTTTTTTACATGTATAAAAATCTCATTTTTAAGTAGCTGCAATAAATGTAATTGTTTTTTCAGCTTAATGCATCTTTTAATACCAACCCTTTTTCACATGAAATACCCTGTTGAATCATCAAAATCAGCTTCTCCGTTTAATCTTGCTGAGAAACCAAAGACTGTGCAGCTGCTTTTGGACTTCATGCTAGATGTCCTTCTGATGCCTTATGGGTGAGTTACAAAATAAAAACAAAGCAACCTTGTTCTTGACTGTTTTTACTGTGTGGAGTTAAGTACTATTTTAAATGATTCCCGTCTCACTAGTAAATGAATGCTTCTCAACATCCGTTTACATTTATAAAGATTTTTTTCTTCTAAACCTCTTTTAAACTTCAGCTTCACTGCTTATTGGACTTACTGATGCTGAGTTGCTGTTGTGATTTTAGACTCTACCTGCCCAAGATGAAGTCAATCTATCCGCATAAAAATAGTTCCTCTTAGGTCGAGGTGGGAGCATCACTTGGGGCTAGGAGTTTCAGACCAGCCTGGGTGAAAGAGCGAGACTGTCTTTCAAAAAGAAAGTTTCGGGCCGGGCGCGGTGGCTCAAGCCTGTAATCCCAGCACTTTGGGAGGCCGAGGCAGGTGGATCACGAGGTCAAGAGATTGAGACCATCCTGGTCAACATGGTGAAACCCCGTCTCTACTAAAAATACAAAAAATTAGCTGAGCATGGTGGCACGTGCCTGTAATTCCAGCTACTCAGGAGGCTGAGGCAGGAGAATTGCCTGAACCCAGGAGGCGGAGGTTGCGGTGAGCCGAGATCGCGCCATTGCACTCCAGCCTGGGTAACAAGAGCGAAACTCTGTCTCAAAAAAAAAAAAAACACAACAAAAAGAAAGTTTCTTTTTTGAAGTTACTATCAGTGCTGTGATGATTCTCCTTGCCACCTAGAATGATCAATTGTCTCCAGCTTTTCTCTTTTTTGTTGCTACAATATCAGTTTCATAATGCCTTCTTCCTTCTCCTTGCTGTGTCTGGAACCCTTCCCACTGCTATCATCTAGTTTTGACTCTTTTCAAGTCTTGTCATAATTTCTTTCCCAGTGGCTCCACTTCTTCAAATCTCTTTACACCTCCTCTCTATGCTTTTCCCGTTTTTCAAAACACAGATCCAGGCAGCACCTTGGTTTCTCATATCCGGTCATTAATACACTCATGCATTTCATGCACTCTTATGTGTCCTTGCCTTTTATTTCAATGCTTTTCTCTCTGCCTCAAATGCTTCTTCAAAAAAGCAAGCAAGCAAGCAAAAAGACACTTTGAAAAAAAGCATCCCAGCCATTTATAGTGGCTCACATCTGTAATCTCAGTACTTTGAGAGGCCGAGGCGGACGGATCCCTTGAACCCAGAAGATTGAGACCAGCCTGGGCAAAATGAAAAAACCCTGTTTCTACAAAAAAATACAAAAATTTGCAAGACCCCATGGCATGCACCTATAGTCCCAGCTACTTGGGAGGCTGAGGCTAGAGTATTGATTGAGTCTGGGAGGTAGAGGCTCTAGTGAGCTATGATTCATGCCATTGCACTCCAGCCTGGTGACAGAACAAGACCCTGTCTCAAAAACAAAAAGAAAAGGAAAAAGAGAAAAGGATCCCAAACTGGCTTAAATGTCAACTCTGTTTGTCTCTGACAAATTTCTTGCCCCAGGAAGATATAATTGCACTAATTTCTGTGTCATAACAACATGAAATACCCACCTGTATGGGCACTGTGTGTTTCTGCTGCGTTGTAGACATTTCCATCTCCTGTAGTAGATGGTGAGCCCCTTGTAGTCAAGAGTTGTTTCGTGTAGCTTTGGTCTCTGGCATGGAGCCCTGATTGCGATCTACTTCTAATCTACTTATTTTGTCTTGCTGCCAGAGAAATTTTCCAAAATGCTGTTTTCATCTTGTTTCTTTCCTAATCACAAAAATATGTGTACATGATAAGCTTGGTATATGGGGCTCCATATCATTTGTCTCTCAATCCAGAGACAAGAGAGTTCATGTGGTGTGATGAACCAGTTTGTTTCCTCCTGCCGCTCTTGTTTGGTAGCCCAGTTTTCTGGGCCTTTAGTCACTCCATGTTCACTCTCACCATCTGTTATATCACTTTTTATTTCTCAGCAGTTTCTTTGCATCTGTTAAAATTGCAGATGCTATTACATGTGTTACATCGTTACTGTCTCAGCTTACTCCAGATGGCAGACTCCATCTTACACCTCCTTATATTCCTTTGTCTTGTGTTTAAGTTGATGTTTGTTTGTTTGAGACAGGGCCTCACTCTGTCGCCCAGGCTGGTATGCAGTGGCAACTCACTGCAGCCTTGACCTCCTGGGTTCAAGCAGTCCTCTCACCTCAGCCTCCTGAGTAGCTAGGACTACACGTGCACGCCACCATACCCAACTAATTTTCTTTTATATTTTTTGTAGAGATAGGGTGTCAACATGTTGCCCAGGCTGGTCTCAAACTCCTGGGCTCAAGCGATCCTCTCACCTCGGCCTCCCAAAGTGGTGGGATTATAGGCCTGAGCCACCACACCCAGCCTTAGGATGTTTTATACAGTATTAAGATGTACATACTTATTGATTGATTTACTTAATGCTGCCAGTCTTGCTATAACTTAGAAATAAACTTCTTTTTATATTTGTTAAATCAGAAGGCAGCCAGAATGACAGGTGATGATGGCTTTGATAAATAAGCCTTGAAATTCAGATTTACCTTAGAAATATGATGTAATCAAGCCAGTGATTCCTCACATTTTTCTTATTAATGAGAACTTGCGTCATTTATATAATAATATTAAAGCGATTCCTTAACAGGTTTTAAAAAAATAGGAATTGAATGAATGTGACATGTAAGTAATGTGGAATAATTTATGCTATCAAGTTCTAAGTGTTTTCTTGAACTTTTATTATAGTGGATATTTTAGTTTAATAATATGATAATGGAAGTTATCAGCATAGATCTTTAGTTTTAAGAGACTTGAATTAATATTTATATCAAAAACTTCATTTTGTAGATGAGTAATACCAGTTTAATTGGATCAAAATGAATTTCTTGGAGATCTTCTTTCTTCTCCATGGAAGCGAAAATGAAATAGAGGTGATAATTTAACCAGGTGGTGCAAAGGGCTTTGAACGTATAATGGGAAAAGTCAGTTCTTATGTAACTTCTTTCATTGGGCTCTTTTGATTTCTTTCATTTTGGGGACTTTATGTGGTTATGTGGTATGTCATTTGAAGGTTTCAGTGGGTTTTTTAATTTAGGGATAAAGACTTCAGGGAGGACTGAAGGTGAATTACAGCTTTGTAGAAATGAGAATGACTGTAGAAATACTCTGTTTTGGGTATACAACAATGGCTCCTCCCATTCCCCTATGTCAACAAACTTTTCTCCATGTTTGGCAGCTAAAAACTCAAAATGTGGTGATTCTGGAGTGGCTCTTAGAGCTATCATTTATAGACTGAGATTGATCAAAATATTTATATTCATTGTTGGTAATGGTTGTAGTTCATTTGTAACCAAGTTAAGTGATGTGCTCTTCTGGTTAATTTGCTGAAGATTTAGATACCTTTTCTAGATACCTTAAAATTTTTTTTATGATGAAATTTTAATTTCAAGTGTTTACTCTTCTAGTAAAATACAGTAGGAGGACAGTATATGATTGATTGTTTTATGTACACATGTAGATGTAAATGCTTGTGTTTTTATAGAGGTTTAAAGTGTTATTTCCTTTCCAGATATGTGTTAAATGAATCCCAGAGTCGCCAAAATTCATCTACAGCACAGGGTTCTTCTTCAAACAGTGGAGGAGGTTCTGGAATCCCACAGCCGCCTCCAGGAATGAGCTTTTATGCAGCTAAACGAGTTATTGGTGATAACCCATGGACACCTGAACAATTGGAACAGGTATCACATACCGCTTGCTCATAATAGTACTTGATCCTGGACACTTGCCCCTATGAAGTCCATGAACCATGTATAACATAATTATAGTATATTCAGGCTCTCTAATGAAATATGTTTGAAAGGAGCAGTTGATGTAATGTGTTCTCTTCAGGCTAGTTATTTATTAAGCCCTAGGGGCAGGGAGGAGTGGGATATGCTGTTTAGTTTTTCTAATATTGTTTGCATATTTCCATTATAACTCACTTATAAATTGAATATGTTTAACTTGTTTTTTTATAATTTTTAAACTTTTGTCATTTTAGTTTTTAAATTGTAGCTTTAATTATCACCTAGATTTTTTGTTGCAGTTAAAATACAATTTTTCTTACATTATTCAACTTTTTAGGGCTGTACATTTTATGTAAAGTGAGGAGCCCAACACTTCACAGGTGATAGTGTGGGGAAAAGCATGACTCCCTGTTATATTACTTCTTGGGAATTTAAAAATTGGCATTAAGAATTTTATTCTGGATTTAAACAGGACACAGATGTTCTCTGAGCAGCTTTTAAAAATGACTGGTGCTCTACAGAGAAGGTGCCTCACTGTGCCTGTGTCATCAGGCACTTCAGGGAAGAACAGATGAGATCAGTATGTAATTATTTTGGAATTCAAGCAACATGGGTTAGTCTTCTAATCCTTCCTTTATTTCTCCATGGCAGTCTAAATGATTTGATCCTTTTCTTTTTGGGAATGTAAGTGACCATTGATTAAAACAGCGTTCTCAGTAAAGGGAAAAAGAGGCAAGCGGGGTATTCTTGCCATTCACAAATTTATAGAATGTTTTATTCAGTGAGGGGTATAATTGATTTGATTTCCTTCTTCATGTTTTATGGATCTTTTTTTCCCTTCTTAAACTATTATGTAAGTAAAGGTAAAAGAGTTAACAGAAGCTACTCTTTTTTGAGTTCAATCTATGTGACAGGCACTGTACTGGGTACTTTGAATATAGTATCTCATTTAATCCTCACAGCAATCAAGTGAGGTATAGAAATTGTTAGTTCCATTTTCTGAAAGGCATGGAAGTTTTGAGATTTACCAGGGTTTCACTTCTAGTACCAAGCTTTAAACCTAGGTTTATCTGAGGGCTAAAGCTACAAATGCTGGAGGAAAATGGTTATTGTTCAATTATAATCTTATATTGGTCATTATTTGCCAATATGTCTCTGTATGTGTTTTGTCAGTTTCATAATCTAGTGCTGAAACAAACAGTTTAGTTTCAGGGATGAAAACTGTTTTTCTCTAATTTTAAAACATCTCTTTGTTTTATACTTTTTCTTCCAAGTAAAGCATTTTTTTTTTCCTAATTATAAACTTAATATAAATATTCAAGTAGTTAAGAATAGTAGAAAGTGAAATTAAAAATTAAGCGGCTGGACGTGGTGGCTCATGCCTGTTGCAGTGAGGCCAAGGCGGGTGGATCACTTGAGGCCAGGAGTTGGAGACCAGCCTGGGCAACATAATGAGATCCTGTCTCTATTAAAATTACAAAAATTAGCTGGATGTGGTGGTACATGCCTGTAAACCTAGCTACTTGGGAGGCTGAGGCATGAGAATCCCTTGAACTCAGGAGGTGGGAGTTGCTGTGAGCTGAGATTGTGCCCCTGCACTCCAGCCTGGGCGATAGAGCACGACTCTGTGTAAAAGAAAAAAAAAAGGCCGGCGCAGCGGTTCATGCCTGTAATCCCAACACTTTGGGAGGTCATACTGGGCAGATCACTTGAGTTCAGCAGTTCGAGATCAGCCTGGCCAACATGGCGAAACCCCATCTCTACTAAAACAAAAATTAGCTGGGCATGGTGGTGTGTGCTTGTAGTTCCAGCTGCTGGGGAGGCTGAGGCACAAGAATTGCTTGAACCCAGGAGGCAGAGTTTGCAGTGAGCCATGATTGCACCACTGCACTCCAGCCTGGGCGACAGAGCAAGACTCTGTTTCAAAAAAAATAAAATTACCTGGAATCCTGTTACACTAGTTTGTCATCTGTCTACAGTTTGCTGTGTGAGTGTATATGTGTGTTCACAGTTTTAAACAACACATTTCTACTTGTCATGCAATACATTATTCGTAGTTTAATTTTTATATTGAACAATATTTTGAATTTTTTGAAAAGTAATTCTTTTTAATGTTTGTATACAATTACATAAGGTATTTTTAAACCAGTCTCCTGTTGACAGACATCTGTATCATTTCGATTTTCTTTACATGATTTTTTTTTTTTTTTTTTTTTTTCTTTGAGACAGAGTTTCGCTCTTGTTACCCAGGCTGGAGTGCAATGGCGCGATCTCGGCTCACCGCAACCTCCGCCTCCTGGGTTCAGGCAATTCTCCTGCCTCAGCCTCCTGAGTAGCTGGGATTATAGGCATGCGCCACCATGCCCAGCTAATTTTTTGTATTTTTAGTAGAGACGGAGTTTCACCATGTTGACCAGGGTGGTCTCGATCTCTTGACCTCGTGATCACCTGCCTCGGCCTCCCAAAGTGCTGGGATTACAGGCGTGAGCCACCGCGCCCGGCCTTACATGATTTTTTGTTTATATCTTTGTGTACTTGACTTCCATAACTGTCCTCTTTATGGTTGCACAAATGTTTGAATCTTTTCTGTTGTAGCTGTTGTTAAAAGTAAGTTGTGTTGAGCAGGGGAGAGAACCCAGGCCCGTTTTTGATTTGTTATATCTTTTTAAATTGCATTTTTTTCTTAGTTAATAATTGTAAGCTTTATTCTAGTATATGTAAAAACTATTATGTGACTGATTTTTTAAGATAAAAATGAAATTTTATTTTTCAGATGTTTTTGTCCTAAATAGAGTCATTTGTAATGGAATTCATAGCATCTTCACATTGCATGAAGTTCTAATCAGAATCTCTCTTTAGTCTGTTTCATTTCAGCCAGTCAATTAAATGGAATACTGTTCGATTAGAATTTCTCTTGCATTGAGTAGCCAATATTTGAATGTATGTTAGCATATCCTTTGTAGGTTAGCAATAGAGTGAAACTCTATGGAATGTGAATTATTTAATTATTTTTGAACTGTCAGAATCCATGGAGCACTTTATTCCTAGCGTACCAACCTCTTATCTGGAGGCTCCAAATTTGGACTTCAAGATTTCATCACTCTAGAGAGGCTGTGTGACCTCACTAGGCAGGCTGTATATATCATAATAATTTTGGAGTCAGAGACACTTGGGTTTGAATCCTGCCTTCATCATTTACCTGTGTTTTAATTTTTTAAGCCTTGCCTCAGTGTCCTTAGCTAAAATGTGGGTATAATAATACCTATCTCATAGATTGTGAGGATTAAGTGAAATTATGAATATATGTGCTTAAGTACAGTCCCTGACACATTGTAAGCCTAAGTAGGAGCTGCTATTCTTGTTACTGTTCATCTTTGGATTATGACCACACTGATATGTTAAGCAGTACTTTGAGTGGGTATCCTTTGCTTCCCTGACCGTTCTTTCTCCTTCCCTTCATTTATCTACAGTGCAAATTGGGAATAGTGAAATTCATAGAAGCTGAACAGGTGCCTGAACTTGAAGCTGTTCTCCATTTGGTGGTTGCTTCCAGTGATACACGCCACAGTGTGGCAACGGCAGCAGACCTGGAACTGAAAAGCAAACAGAGGTAACCACTTCCCTGTTACGCTTTTAAGATTGAAAGGGCTAGATTTTTAAAAGCTTACTTACCACATAGGATTACTTTTTTAAGGATTTTATGTAATGAGGCAATCAATTCAGTGGAGATTATGAAATATACCTAGTTTGTAATAAAGTTTTCTGAAGAGTTGCATTCTGTGTAAGATAGAGAAGGAAATCTGTGTGGAGATGGTGTTTATAGCTGGAATAGGTTAGAAATGTCATCACAATCAATGAGACTTTTGGCTAGGTAGATGAACTTGAAGAACTGATGTTAAGGAAAGTGTCAATTCCTGGCCGGATGCTGTGGCTCATGCCTGTAATCGTAGCACTTTGGGAGGCTGAGACAGGTAGATCATTTGAGATTGGGAGTTCGAGACCAGCCTGACCAATGTGGTGAAACCCCATCTCTACTAAAAATATAACAGTTAGTCAAGTGTGGTGGTGGGCACCTGTGATCCCAGCTACTTGGGAGGCTGAGGTAGGAGAATCACACGAACCTGGGAGGTAGAGGTTGCAGTGAGCCAAGATTGCACCTTTGCACTTCAGCCTGGGCTACGGACCGAAACCCTATCTCAAAAAAAAAAGTGTTAGTTCTGAGGAGTTACTAATTTTTATTTTTTTCTCTGTCTTAAACCATGTGAGATTACTTTTAATAAAGACTATGTATGTATTATGGTTAACAATGAAAATTACATTCATGAAAAGAGTCGCTGAATAGATTCTGATGAACACACCGGGAGATACAGATAGCAAATAGACTTATAGAAAATATTCTTTCTGTGTAAGAAATAAAGTCAATGAAAAATAAATGAATGGGGTACCAGTAGCACTTGATAAACCCATTTACGTTTCTATTGACACTGCTATTTTTATTTTTATTTTTTGAGACAGAGTCTCACTCTGTTGCCCAGGCAGGAGTGCAGTGGCACGATCTTGGCTCACTGTAACCTCTGCTTCCCAGATTCAAGCGATTCTTGTGCCTCAGCCTCCCAAGTAGCTGGGACTACAGGTGCCCACCACCACGCCTGGCTGATTTTTGTATTTTTAGTAGAAATAGGGTTTTAACATGTTGCCCAGGCTGCTCTTGGACTTCTGAGCTCAGGTGATCCTCCTGCCTTGGCATCCCAAAGTGCTGGGATTACAGGCGTGAGCCACCACGCCTGGCTAAAACTGCTCTATTTTTATACCCTGTTGATTGGCATTATAAATTGAAGTTTTGGAAAGTGGTTTGCAATAAGTAATGAATCGTCAGGATATTTCTATCCTTTTACCTCAATCTTCTGGGAATTTATCCTGAGGAAATCATTCAACAACAGAAAGAGATTTAGAAAAATGTTACAGATTTGTTCATGATATCATTTCCTATCATGGTTAAAATGTGAAAAAAAATTCAGTTTTCCATAATGGGGATATAGTTAAGTAAATTACTGTATGTATCTTTATGGAGTATCATATATCTGCCAAAATATGAATGAAGTTAATTACTACTAAGTTTTTACTTTGTTTTATTAAAGTGTTTGTTTTGTCTGAAATCTTTAAACCACAAGTATTATGAAAGAAAAGCAATGGCAGATCTTGAGGAGTAGTTAGTAGCAAGCAGCTGAGGAAAGATACAGGTGAATCATACCTGAAATAGAATTGTAGAATGCCTCTGAGGGTAGTGGGATTGTGGGTATTCAAAGAAGACGCATGTTGATTAACTATGAAAGAAAAGACGAATCAGAAAAGCAGTCAAAGCAGCTTCCTAAGTTGTGTTTGCACAAACACAGGATAGCTTGAAAGCAGAATCAATGTCAAAGGGCAGAGAGAATATAGTGTGGCAAACCAGTCAAATGAAAAGAAGGATTGCATTATTGGTAGGTTTATGAAATGATTGAGTGGAATCTGCTGCAGAGGGTGGGAGCGAATCACCAGTCATCTTTTTTTTTTTTTTTTTTGAGACAGAATCTCACTCTGTTACCCAGGCTGGAGTACAGTGCTCGATCTCAGCTAACTGCAGCCTCTGCCTCTTGGGTTCAAAAGATTGTCCTATCTCAGCCTCCTGAGTAGTTGGGGTTGGTGGTGCATACCACCACGCCTGGCTAATTTTTCTTCTTTTAGTAAAGATGGGGTTTCCCTATGCTGACCAAACTGGTCTTGAATTCCTGACCCCAGGTGATCTGCCTGCCTCGGCCTCCCTAAGTGCTGGGATTACGGGTGTGAGCCACAGTGCCAAGCCTTCACCAATCATCTTATATCTGAATTCACCTTATCATGGGGCTCAAATAGAATTAAGTCTTAGTGACTAATAGCGGCATAACTACTCTGCAGAATTAAAACTGCAGGTATGTACTGGTAGTTAAGAGGGGGATGCTGGAAATCACAGTGACATAACATTAGATAAATAGAATGGTTTGCAAGTGTCCTAGGTGTGGCTTAATTTCATGGTCACAAATTTTTTCGTCACATTCCTTACCACTTTTGAATTGCCGAATGGTTAAAAAGATGAATCCTACCCTGCCCCAGGCCTCTTTGAACAAGTGTAGTAAAGCTCTGCTGTGTTGGAGTTGCTCCATGCCAGGGGTCCTGAGTATCCATCTGTATAGGAGCAGTGTATGGTTTTCTTGTGGCAGCAAATTGTGCCACTGGATACAATAATCTGTTTTTTGTTGTTGTTGTTGTTGTTTTTTCTGAAGGGTGAGTTCAGGGCAGTGAAGGTATTTCAGAGAGAGAGAGAGAGTAGGCATTCATATAACTCTTCTCACAAGGCATTGTTATAATTGTTCTATGTTATTAGTTATTGCTTTAATCTCTTAATGTGCCTAATTTATAAATGAAACTGTATCACCAGTATGTATGCACAGGAATAAACATGACAATATGTATAGGGTTCAGTACTATCCATGGTATCAGGTAGCCACTGGGAGGTCTTGCAACGAGGGGTTACTGTAGTTTTCTGTACTACATTTACAAAATTTCTGTAAATTCAGAATTATTTCAAAGTTAAAAGTTAATAAAGAGACACTAACTACAACTGGTTTTAGACACTTCTCAGAATCAGAGGTGGAATAAGTGATCTATATTTGTTTTGGTTTAAACCCCAGAGCCCAAAGTACAATTTAAAAAAAAAACAACAAAAAACCCTCACTTGTAAGCCACGGAAGAGTTTGGATCTTAAGTGTTAGCTGCCCAATTCTCCTTGCTTGGTGCCATGCAATAAATTCCTAACTTTCTCTCACTGCAAAAAACAAAAACAAAAACAAACAAACTGATAGAAATTAGCCCCTTTCGCCGGGCGCGGTGGCTCAAGCCTGTAATCCCAGCACTTTGGGAGGCCGAGGCGGGTGGATCACGAGGTCGAGAGATCGAGACCATCCTGGTCAACATGGTGAAACCCCGTCTCTACTAAAAATACAAAAAATTAGCTGGGCATGGTGGCGCGTGCCTGTAATCCCAGCTACTCAGGAGGCTGAGGCAGGAGAATTGCCTGAACCCAGGAAGCGGAGGTTGCAGTGAGCCGAGACCGCGCCATTGCACTCCAGCCTGGGTAACAAGAGCGAAACTCCGTCTCAAAAAAGAAAAGAGAAGAAAAAAAAAAAAAAAAAGAAATTAGCCCCTTTCTTTTTCTTTCTTTCTACAATGTGAGTTGCCCATTTCATTTGTGTGTTTCTAACATTTTTTTTTTTTTTTGTTAAGAAATGTTGGGGCTGGGCTGGGCACAGTGGCTCAAACCTGTAATCCCAGCACTTTGGGAGGCCGAGGCGAGTGGATCATGAGGTCAAGAGATAGAGACCATCCTGGTCAACATGGTGAAACCCCGTCTCTACTAAAAATACAAAAAATTAGCTGGGCATGGTGGCGCGTGCCTGTAATCCCAGCTACTCAGGAGGCTGAGGCAGGAGAATTGCCTGAACCCAGGAGGTGGAGGTTACGGTGAGCCGAGATTGCGCCATTGCACTCCAGCCTGGGTAACAAGAGTGAAACTCCGTCTCAAAAAAAAAAAAAAAAAAAAAGAAATGTTGGGGCTATAATTTTTTGAAATTACTAAAGGGGGAGGAAAAAATGATTTTAACAACCTGTGTTGAAACCTTCCATAGCTTAATTGACTGGAATAATCCTGCCATCATTAATAAGATGTACAAGGTATACCTTGGAGATATACCACTGAAGACAAAAGAGGTATGTTGTGAAAAGTATTTTGTTTACATGAACTATATGTATTTGTACATTTTCTCCTAGTTTGATTTACGCTGAATCTGTGCTATAACAAAATTGTTGTTAAGTCATGTTAGTTTAGATGAAGTAAAACCTGGTAACATAGTTTAATGGATCTGGTGTTGTAAATTCAGATTCCTAAATAACAATGCAAACTGTCTAGTGTAGGGATTGATAAATTTTTTCTGCAATTTTTTTAGGCTTTGCAGGCCTTATGGTCTCTGAGATTGCAGCTACTCAGCTCTTGTAACCTGAAAGCAGCCATTGGCAATACATAACCAAATGAGCATGATTGTAAACCATGGAAAACTTGGTGGATACTGATGTTTGAATTTCATGTAGTTTTCATGTATTACAAAATAGTATTCCTTTGATATTTTTAACCATTAAAAAAATGTAAAAATGATGCTTAACTCACAGACCTTATCAAAATAAATGGTGGGCCAGATTTGGACTGAGGGCTATAGTTTGCAGACTTCTGGTCTAGAATCTGGAACAAAAGGTGGGTTCTTCTAAAGGCTCGGAGTAAGACTTTTGCCTTAATAACATGAATTTTTTAGTTCACTGTGTTTAAAAGTATTTCAAGTATAAACCCAGACAGGCAAGGATTATTTGTTTGCATGCCTTTTGTGAAGGCCTTTTGATAATGTACTGTAACAATATTTGCACTTATGATACAAAAGCAATGGTGAGTATACTGGCTGGGTTCCTACCACACATCCAAGCTATGTCATCAGATGACTAACAGTCATTCTATTCTTCACTGTCATGTACTCATTAAAAAAAAAAAAGAATAAAACTCAGCTTTGAGAACATCCTTGATGAAGCGGTAAAAATGAGTTTACTTGAAGAATAGACAGGCAAATGATAGTTACTGAGATGAGTATTTGGCACGTATTTTCTCCAAAAGGGAAAAATGAGGACTTCAAGAAAAACAATTAACATGATTTATTATCTATGATAAAAGTTAGCTTTCAAGCAAAAACTAGAATTTTGAGAAACATGTATTTACCACAGTGATTTGATAGCTTATCAATACTTGGTGGATTTTTCTGATGAGATTAGAACACAGGTAATATAGAACACAGGATTTGTAAAAAAATGTTGTACAAGGAAACGTTTGCTTAACTCAGCCAATATTTTGCAAATGAGGAATGACGTTACAAAAGCATATAAGGGCAAGGGAGCCATTCAGAGTAAGATAACAAGTGGAATATAGTATGAGAGTATACAAAAGTTCATTGATACAGTTTCAACTCAAATTGCAACTAACTTTTTTTTTCATTTTTAAAAAATAAGCAATTAACTGTTAATTATTATTTGTCAAGTTTTGGTGTAGTATCAAAAAAGAATATCCACAATTACCTAAGAAAGCTGAAATCATCTCCACTTTTTCAACCACACGTATCTGTGCAAGCTAGGTTTTTGTTACTTCAGCCAAAACAATGTATTATAGCACATTGAATACAGAAGAATATGTAAAAATCAATTTCTCTTGTAGTAAGTTGAACATCAAAGAGATTTGTAGACAATGTGAAACAATGCTACTCCCTCAGTACAATTTTTTTTGTTTTGGAAAATAGTTATTTTTTATACAAAATATGTTAGTTTTGAAAATAATGAGTTTATTAAGAATTCTGAGTAAACAAATCTGTTAAAATTTCTCAGTTTTAATTTTCACTATTATATTGATGGGTTAAACAGATATAAACAAAAGCTCTTTGGAGACTTCAGTAATTTTTAAGAGTGTAAAGGGATCTTGAAACAAAGTTGGAGAGACCACTAATTTAGATGAACTCTCATGACATTTTCATTTCAAAATAATTTTAAATTGCTGAGTTATAATCAAGCATATTTTCAACAGGGTGCAGTTCTGAAGCCAGAGCTTAAAAGGGACCCTGTCAGTACGAGAGTCAAGTTAAAGATTGTCCCTCATCTCCTTCGTTCTAGACAAGCTGCTGAAACGTTCCCAGCCAACATTCAGGTAATTTTTTTTTTTCCAGAGAATATTGGCCTATCTGCAACTTTTATGTCCATTTAATTAGAGAAAGAACTGTGTTAATGGATATTCAGGGGTAGGTTGATGTGTATAATAAGATTAATGAGATTCTTTTTTTTTCTTTTCTTTTTTTTTTTTTTTTTTTTTTGAGGCGGAGTTTCGCTCTTGTTACCCAGGCTGGAGTGCAATGGCGCGATCTCGGCTCACCGCAACCTCCGCCTCCTGTGTTCAGGCAATTCTCCTGCCTCAGCCTCCTGAGTAGCTGGGATTACAGGCACGTGCCACCATGCCCAGCTAATTTTTTGTATTTTTAGTAGAGACGGGGTTTCACCATGTTGACCAGGATGGTCTCGATCTCTCGACCTCGTGATCCACCCGCCTTGGCCTCCCAAAGTGCTGGGATTACAGGCTTGAGCCACCGCGCCCGGCTTGATTTTTTTTTTTTCTAAAATTTGCTGCAGTATGATTTAAAAAAAATTATCACTATATATATAGGTTGAGCATCTTTAATTAGGAAATCTGAAACTCTAAATGCTCCAACGTCCAGAACTTTTTGAGTACTGACATGATGCTCCAAGTACAAAATTCCACACCTGGTCTCATGATGGATTGCATTAAAACAGTCAAACTTTCGTTTCATGCACAAAATTATTTAAAATATTCTATAAAATAACCTTCAGGCTACGTGCATAAGGTGTGTGGAAAATGTCAATGAATTTAATATTTAGATTTGGGTCTCGTCCCTAGGGTGTTGCATTTTGCATGTACACATAATCCAAAATCTGAAAAAATCTGAAATCTCAAAGCACTTCTGATCCTAAGCATTTCCCAGTAACTAACACTCAGCCTATACTATATATGGCTTCCATTTATTTCAAATGTATGGTAATAATCCCTTTCAAACAAGGTTTTTTTTGTGTGTTTGTGGTTTTTCTCCAAAAATGGTATCATTAGTCACTTAGTCAGTTAAATGAAAAAGCTGAGTCATCCTTAACTGAAGCCTCACTTGAAGGCAGTGGCCAAATCCTCTTGATTTCATCTACTTAATGTCTTTACTTCTCTACACCTAATGCTGATATTAATTCAAACTGTTACTATTTTTTTTTTAAGCTTATCTTCCTGCCTATAGTCTCTTGGCCCATATCCAGTCTGTTTTCTTTTTCTTTGCTTGTTTTTTTTTTTTTTTTTGAGACAGGGTCTCACCCTGTTGCTCAGGCTGGAGTGCAGTGGCACAGTCTTGTCTCACTGCAGCCTCTACTTCCCAGGCTCAAGTGATGCTCCCACCTCAGCCTCCTGAGTAGCTAAAAAATAAAGTCTGTTTCAAATAATGTAGCACTTGATTATATTTTGTCCTGTATCTTTTTGTGTTTTTTTTTGAGACAGAGTCTTGCTGTGCCATCCCAACTGGAGTGCAGTGGCATGTCTCGGCTTATTGCAGCCTCTGCCTCGCATGCTCAAGTGATCTTCCCATCTCAGGGCCTCCCAAGTAGCTGGGACTATAGGTGTGTGCCACCACGCCTGGCTAATTTTTGTATTTTTTTGTAGAGATGGAGTTTTGCTATGTTGCCCAAGCTGGTCTAGGACTCTTGGGCCCAAGTGATCTTCCTTCCTCAGCCTTCCAAAGTGCTAGTAATTTTTTATTTTTTTGAAGTGAGACAGGATCTTGCTATGTTGTCCAGACTGGCCTTGAACTCTTGGGCTCAAGTGATCCTCCTGTCCCAGCCTCTCTAGTAGCTGGGAATATAGGTGTGAGCCACCGTGCCTGGCTCTGTATCATTTTAATATACATACCTCTTAACTCCTCTATAAGATTGAGTGCTTGTTCTTTTTTATATCTCTTAGTACCTAACACAGTGGCAATTATAAAGCAGATACTCAATCCTAGTCTGGAACTCAATGTTACTGTTAAACAGCATCAGAATACTGCTGGCAGTTTTAGGAACAAGAGTGTAGAGGGTTTTTTTGTTTTGTTTTGTTTTTTTAGTGTAATCTTTGTCATCAAAAGTAGGAACTTGAGGGATTTAGGTATTCTTATTGTTGATGGTTAATATTGAACTTGCTGGATGCTGCACAGGGCTCATCCACATGATAGTTTTGCCTTCTAGGTGGTTTCATAATACATGAAGCCCTTTTACCCCAATGGCACACTTGTAGAATATTTCTATTTGTATATTTTTCCTGAAGCTTTTAGTAGAATTTGTCCTGAATTGTATAATTAAGAAACCTAGGGAATGGCTGAGTGGTGACCCACTGCAGTGTGTACTCTTAGTTTCTTCACCGTGGTAGATCCACAAGCCTTGCAGACTTGTGAAATCAACCATTGTGTTTGTTACTTCACAGACTATTTATGGGAGCTTCTGATTGGCTTTCTAAGTTGGTCAGCTAATAATGTTTATCTGCATTAACGTTGAAGAACGAGATGTAGTATGAAAGGTCTGCTGTTGAATTCTGATTACTATTCAAAAGTATTTAATTCTTATTTTTGTTAGTTGATGTTCTCAACTCTTCTTTCACATAGGTGGTGTATGATGGACTTTTTGGTACAAATACAAATTCAAAGTTAAGAACATTATCCCTGCAATTTGTTCATCATATTTGTATAACGTAAGTTTTAACTATTTTAACTATAAAGTTTTCAAGCTGCTAGAATGCTTGAATTATATCTTTTTATTTATCTTACCTAGAAAGAAATCATGTTTGCTCATCTTTAAAAATTTTCGTATTTTAATGGATTATTTAATTTATTTTGGTTATGTCTCTAATTATTTTATGTAACCATCAGTAGAGATACCTAGTTATGAGATTTCTTACCTTGCTTTGTGTATGTGTGTTTTATTTAAAGCTGTCCAGAAATTAAGATTAAGCCATTAGGTCCAATGCTTTTGAATGGCCTCACCAAGCTAATCAATGAATACAAAGAGGTAAATGACTTGTCTTTTAAATTTTATCAACATTTTATGTCTTACAATATTTTCTATAATCTTTCTGGTCTGTTCATTAATGTAGTTAAATTTGCTATTTCATTGTTTCTTAACATTTTTACTTGAAGTAGTACAAATTTCAGAAATTACTGCCCTTTTTTCCTTTTTTGGGGGGGGAAATAACTGTTAAAAACTGATGAGTCTTGAGGTCTTACTGCATCTTTTTTGAGACAGAGTTTTGCTCTTGTTGCCCAGGCTGGAGTGCAATGGCGTGATCTCAGCTCACTGCAGTCTCCCCCTACTGGATTCAGTGATTGTCCTGTCTCAGCCTCCCGAGTAGCTGGGATTGTAGCTGCCCATCACCATGCCCAGCTAATTTTTTGTATTTTTAGTAGAGATGGGGTTTCACCATGTTGGCCAGGCTGGTCTTGAACTCTGGACCTCGTGATCCACCTGCCTTGTCTTCCAAAGTGCTGGGAGTACAGGCATGAGCCACCTACTATGTCTTTAGGTAGCATTTTTTCAGCCAGTGCCTTTTGTGCTACTTGTAGGCATTGTGCAAAAATGGAATTAAAGAAATTGAAATTTATGTTTATTTCCATATGGGACTATTTGGATTTGGCTTGTGATGGGAAACAGTGTTAATTCTCAGGGGCTAAGATTTTTTTTTTCTTTTATATTTTTCTCTGGTAAATAATGGGGCTGAGATTTTAATGATTAAAAATTCTGTCAAAACATGCATTCAGTAAATTTTTGATTCCTTAAGCTAAATGGGATGAAGTATCCTTGGATTGTAGATTTTTAAATCTCATTTTCCCTGCTATATTTCTTTTACTCTAATATCTCCAGTATTTAAAAGGATTTTGCTAAAAAAAGTTAATATTTCAAGAATTCATTAGTATTATTTTCCTCAGTCTAAGCTCAACATGAATGCATGTTTGCAGTAGTATAGTGAGCTCAAGATCGTACCATTGGAAATTAGAACTGAATTTGAATCTAGTTTTGTTTTTTGGTGAGTTACTTAGATTCTTTGCACCTTCTTATCAGAAAAATGAAAATAATGATACCACTTTATTAGATAGTGTGAAGATTAAATGAGTTAATCTACCTAAATTGTTCAACATAGTTAAGGCACGTTAGTAGATACTATTAGTGAAAGGTACTTTGTTTTCTGTGCAGCTCTGCTTTAGGGGTAAGTAGGCCTTGTTCTCCTAGCTTCTTTCTTCTATTGAGTAATGCTTGTATGGTTAAGATCCAGGGGACTTCTCAGATTATTTTATGGCATAGATAGTGAGATGCTTTGGAGTCATGGGTAGAAATAAAAATGCGCTGGGGCTTTTGGGGAGAAGCTATATATTTAAATATACGTTAGGGAGGCCAGACAAACCACAGGTATGAATCCCCTTACTTCCAGGTGACACCTACATGTCTTCCCAACAGATGAATCCATAAGAATAGCCATTTAGATGTGGAAGGGCAAATCCTGGGATAAACATAAACTTTGGTGGAAGTTCATTGTATTCTGAGTAATCAGATTGTTAGTTTTCGTAAAACCATGTAGACCTCTTATCTGTATCTTGAGGAAAGAACCTCACTAATTCAGCTGATGACTATGACCCTCTTAATTTTTTATGGTAGAAAATATGGTAGGAAGCTGTTTATTACAGTGTAGATTTTTAGAAAATCGCACTACAGTTTACCTCAATTTTGCTGAGAGATGGAAGATCCTAGTCTGTTGGACCAGTGATGTATTGTCTAATGAGTTAATTTTTTTTTAGTGTGTTGAAGATCCGTTTTGGTGTTTGCAGGTTACATAGTGTTGAAATATCTTGAACTCAGCAGCAGCTAAGAGAACAGTGCATTTCCCTTTTGGGACGAGTTGGGGATGCAAGGTTTTGTTATGTTTTTCCTTTTACGAGTGTGGTGGAGTCTCAGTTTGGACATTTTTGTTGTTGTTCAGGTGCTAACACCATATAGTTAGACAGAGTGAGACCTAGGTTTAATAAAGAGTAAAATAATGCATGTAATTGCAGCGAAAAGGTTTTACTGTTTACTGTATTTTTTGTTTTGTCTGTTTTTGTTTGTTCTTTTTTTTTTTAATTTAAAGGACCCTAAACTACTGTCAATGGCATATTCAGCAATTGGAAAACTCTCCAGGTGAGTAAACTCTTTTTTAGTGAGAGATATGCTATTGGTAAACTGAGAAGAATTATGTGGCACTTAATAATGGTGGAAAATAAATTTGTTGTGATTCTGAAAGGAAATATATTTAATGGCTATAGGTTGTTTAGAAATGTTTTCTGTGTAGAAGGAAAAAGATGTGAGACATTTTAATTTATATTTGAAGGTATGTTACTGTATTAAATAGTGGTCTTGAAATGAGAGTTTGAACTGAATTGTGTCATAATGGGCTATATTTTTTTATACCCTTGAGACTTTTGGTTGACCTTATGTGTTTTTGTTGCTACTTGGCACTAATCTTTATAAACCCAGTGATCAAGGTTTTTCTAGTGATTCTCTTTTCTGAGAATAGTGTTTATGATTCTGAGTGGCCCTGACAGATTTTTTTTACTTCTCAGTGTGATCTCCTCATTCCAATTCCTGCTGGCTTCATCTTCCTTCACTGTATTTCAAAGCAGGGAGAGAGAGGTGAAACATCCTCAGTGGCAACCATGTGCTGCTTCCACCCCAAGTACAGGTTTTATGTTGGCCTCTGTAGACCAGGTCTTGATCTTCTCTTCAGAGAAAAGAAGTTTTGGGGTTTGGAAGAAAGCCACCCCAGATGAGTGGATACAGTGCAGGGTTGTCAGCCAGCCTTGTCCCTTGTGTGTTGGCATGAAGTAACAAAGCCTCTTTCCACGACAGCCGTTAGTTTAGATCACAGTTTGGTCTTATCTAATTTCTTCATGTTAAAATCAGAAATATTAACTGAATGCATGGAATATTATAGAGGGGATATCTAGAAGATGTGTGTATTAATCAAGGGCTATTTGGATTAAAGAATTAAATAATTAGAAAAAATTTTGGCTCTTGGGGGAGGTAATATAATGATGCTGACATTGTGTTCAGAGAGTTCAGGAAAATTTTTAGTTTCTTTTTTTCCCTTTTTCATCTCTTGGAAATTTATGATAGTAACAATATTTTTACATTCTTTTGCAGTCGAATGCCACATTTATTCACTAAGGATATAGCGCTTGTGCAGCAGCTTTTTGAAGCCCTTTGTAAGGTAGGGAAGCAGCTGCCAAGTTTATGCTTTCTGTTTGGATGTTCCCCTGGGGACCCAACAGGAAGGGAAACATTTTTATTATCTTTATAGGAAGAGCCTGAGACTCGACTTGCTATTCAAGAAGCTTTGTCTTTGATGGTTGGAGCATATAGTACTTTGGAAGGGGCACAGCGAACTCTCATGGAGGCACTTGTGGCTTCGTATTTAATAAAGGTAGGTCCGTGTGAACTACAAAGTCTGGGTAGTATACAGTTTACATTTTAAGAACAAAATTTGAATTGCTACTTAAATGTTTTGATAATTAAGAGGAATATTTGCTTTCACTTGGGCTGTGATTTATGATCTATTTTTAATTTTTCATGATGAAAATTTGACTTTAGGGGAGAAGGAGTGGTAGTATTCACAGCAGTGCTTATGTTTAAAGCTTTCCATGTGGGAAAATTGTTCTGAATACCAGGTCCTCTGAGTTAGAAGTGCTTTGTCTTGGTAACCGGTAGCTGAGCACTACTGTCCGCTGGGGTAGAGTTTGATAGGTAATGTTTTCAGAGAAAAGCAGAAGGGGTGAAAGACAAATTCCATATGTCAAAGTGATTCTTTAGGAAGTGAGCCAGTGCTGTCATACATGCTCTTCTTCCTCTGGTCCTCTTTATTTGGTTTTCAAGGGAATTTGTGGGAGGATTTTGAATATCTGTAGATATATACATACATATGTTTATGTAATATGAAAAATACTGTGTATTTGCTTCAGTCAGTTCTTTGTCCCACATTTTTAAGAGTAGAAAGAGAGGGAGATTGGAAGATGGAATGATACTAAAAAGTGTCAGTGAGATTAATGTAAATTGTGTCCTAATGGAATTAGACTGACATGATTTAATATATTTATTTTGAGGGAATTTGAAATGTTCAGAAAGATATCTGCTTGCTATGAAAATAGGACAGGATTAAAATGTGCTATTAAATATATTCAGAAAGCTTACTGTGGGTGGAGTCCTATTGTCACGTGCTTTTAGTGTGCACTGCACATGGTTCATGTTTGTATATCATGGACAAAGCTGTGTACGCATATTTGGAAGCTCATTAGAATAGAACACTTAAAACTTTCTCTAGGTAACCTTGCAAGAAAGTGTGATGCTTATATAATCACTTATAGATACTGGTTCTACTCCTTCAGATCAAATAATGTAACACTATTATGAATACAAAGCTAATTTCTTTTCTTTTCACAGACAGCATTTAAAGCAACCAAACTCTAGCTTAATTATGTAATTTAGGCTAGTCTTTAATATCATCACTCTTTAATGTAGTTAAAGGAATGCTAAATAGCAAGAATGCCAGAATGAATAGGACAATATATGTATTTTTAATGTCTCTCTTATTTCACTTATGTTTGTGGATGGAGAAGTGACCTAGGGAAGGTCCATAAGAATAAAGCTTCAGGATCAGTAGATTCTAAAACTACTTTTCTGGTTGAACTTTATAGTCATAGATTATTAATCTAAGTTAATTCAATATATTTCTGTAGTTGAAACTGCTTTGGAGTCAGTTTTAACTTCAGAGCGAATTTGAGAACATTGGAGGTATTTTGCTTCAACTTGGTGGGGATTCCGAGTAAGCTCTGTTTGTGAATTCTGCAAAATAGCTGAGTTTCACTTATGTGACTGACAAGAGTTGGGGAGGCAGAGGTGGTGGCCAGAAACTGTCACAGTGACCCTGGTCCCAAGGTTTGGGCTGATGATGTGCAGAGATTCCCTGGTTATGATCTTTGGGGGGGGTCTTCCTGTTTTACCTGGAGTATCCTCTTAAATTATAAGAGTACTCTTTAAGTACTCTTTACAATTAAGTACTCTTTACAATTAAGTAGTCTTACTCTTTAAGCCACTGTCCAAAAGACTTAACATCATTAAAGATCTTGGACAAATGATTTATTTTATTTATTTAGATACATATTTATTCAAGTGTCACCTTAGAATTTTGAATTGTTTACAACTAGGAAGACTCATCTTGATTGGAATAGATGGCTGGTAATTGATTTTTTCCCCCTTTTTCTTTTTTGGGTCGGGGTGGTCTGTGTATGTTTACGTGTCAAATAGCCTGAAGTTCAAGTTCGACAAGTGGCTGTGAAATTTGCCAGCACTGTGTTTCCCTCAGATCATATTCCTTCCAGATATTTGCTGCTACTAGCTGCAGGAGATCCGTAAGTTTCAAAAGGTGTTAATTTGAATTTTGGTTTATTTTGAATTTATTTGAAAATTACTAGAAGTCGTATTATATGTAATGTTGGTCTATGAAATTTAGAAGCTATTTATTAAAGAAAGTATGGCTCTTGATGTGATAGCGACCTGTACTCATATAGTTATATATTTATATAATAATACAAATATTACATGTATATCTCTATATAATATATATTATATAGATGTATTATGTAACATATATATAGCTAATACAGAAAATGTTTATGAAATGGTCAAGTGTAAATAAATCAGATTATATGATTGTGTGTGTAATGTAAAAACAAGCTCTATGTAAGGAGAAAAAAGGCTAATGATGGTTTGACATATGTATTAATATTTTATTAAATATGGAATATCATTTTATATCTAATATACTAATATTTTTAAATGAGACATATGTTGCATTTTATATTAATTATACTGTGGCATTTTCTAGAGTGTATAGTACCTTTTAAAAGAATGTTTAAATGGTTTTGAAATTGGAACATGCCTTTAAAAGTTATATGCACATATAATGAAGTATATGTGGACATATTAAAACAACTCTTTCCAAATCTGTTACATATCTTATAGCCAATGACATCTTAAAATCCATGCAGCACTATAATCTATTTCATAATAAACCATTATTACTACATTTAATGTTTAGAATTTTTGCATCCTTTAAGTGAGATTCTTGTATATTTTTTTCTTTTTTGTTATCAGGGATAGCCCGATTTGGGGGAGGTGAAAAGCCTCATTTATACTGAGGAATAGTTTAAATAAATTATGCATCCTATGATGATTTCAACACCCTTGCCCATAAACTTTTAAATAGTCCATTTTTTAAAAAAATGGGTATTTCCTTGATAGCTGTTTCAATATCCTAGCTGGCCAACTGTGTGCCCCTCATGCCATTTATTTTCTTTCCTATAAATTGTATATATTTTGTTGTTATTTATTTGGTTAGTATTTTAATTGGACATCGCAAGTTATTAGCAGGCCCTGACTTTTGACTTCTGATCTTGGCTGCTGCTGCTTTTTTTTTTTTTTTGAGATGGAGTTTCACTCTTGTTACCCAGGCTGGAGTGCAATGGCGCGATCTCGGCTCACCGCAACCTCCGCCTTCTGGGTTCAGGCAGTTCTTCTGCCTCAGCCTCCTGAGTAGCTGGGATTACAGGCACGCGCCACCATGCCCAGCTAATTTTTTGTATTTTTAGTAGAGACGGGGTTTCACCATGTTGACCAGGATGGTCTTGATCTCTTGACCTTGTGATCCACCCGCCTGGGCCTCCCAAAGTGCTGGGATTACAGGCTTGAGCCACTGCGCCCGGCTGGCTGCTGCTTCTTATAGAGCACATTTCGATTTGGTTAAAGGGGGTTTGGATTGTTAATCTTGATTCTGGTGCTCTGTTGCTTCTTTTTCTTTCTTTCTTTTTTTTTTTTTTTGCTTGAATTTCTCTCCAGGAAGCTCTGTTGCTTCTTACTTTTTCTACATTAGTTTCCCAACCACAGGCCAGATGTTACTGGGGCCTGACAGCCAAGGTGGCAGGCAGTTCATGTTAGAGCAAGGATTTAAGTCTAGGGAGTTGGACTTCCAAATAGAGCTCTTAACTGCCGTATCTTATTCTGTAAGTGCTGAAAGTTATTTTTGTTTGAGAAACCAAAACCAGAGCATAACTAATTCAATAGTTTTCCTTCTTTAGTTAAAACTGTTCAGGTCAAATGAAAATCCTCTTGACAACTTGAGGCATTATTTATTAATTCTTTCTTTTTGGCCCTTTATCTGTTTGGAAAATGAGACACGATCAGAGGCAACTGAGGAATTAAAAGGCTTTATGTGGTATCTAAATAAGACTATTGCTGAGATCAATCTCTAGATGGTCTGAAATTGGTTGGGGTTTATATTTTTACAAACTACTGTTACTTATTAGTTATTAGTTATACAGAATTGCGGCTGAATACATAGAGATGTAAGAGTTTGGGTGGAATGTATAGACCACTAGATAGTCAACTGAATTTTAAAATATGTGTTATAGTTTATGATTTAACTCTACAAGGTAAAGCATACACTTAGAAATTTACATAATGGATTACTTACCGTACCCTATCTTGTTTTTTTCTGTGAGTCAAATTCAAAGAGGTAAGCCAGATGACTCCCTGAACCTCATGCAATTTCTAATAAGAAGGGATTTCTTAGAATGTGTTATATTGACTCTGCTTAGATAGCGAAGAGTGTATTTAAGACATTTTCTGACAACTCCAGCTGCCAAGTAGAATTGCTGTTCTTATTCTTCAAATGATCATTCTCCAATTGTTGACATATATTTTTTATTCTTATTTTTCTTTTCTGAAAGCCGTGAAGAAGTTCATGGAGAAGCACAACGTGTATTAAGGTGTCTTCCAGGTAGAAACAAAAAGGAAAGTACTTCTGAGCAGATGCCTTCCTTCCCAGAAATGGTATATTACATCCAAGAAAAGGTATGGCATGCAACTTAAGGTAAGTCGTCTAAATCATATAATGGATGATGAAAATAAAAACATTCATCTTTAAATTGAAAAATGTAATCACTAAATGTTGACTCATAAAATTTCTTTCTTTCTTTTTTTTTTTTTTTTTTTTTTTTTTTTTTTTGAGATGGAGCTTCGCTCTTGTTGTCCAGGCTGGAGTGCAATGACATGATCTTGGCTCACTGTGACCTCTACCTCCTTGGTTCAAGCGATTCTCCTTCCTCAGCCTCCCTAGTAGCTGGAATTACAGCTGCCTGCCACCACGCCCAGCTAATTTTTTGTATTTTTAGTAGAGACGGTGTTTCATCATGTTGGCCAGGCTGGTCTTGAACTCCTGACCTTAGGTGATCCACCCACCTTGGTCTCCCGAAGTGCTGGGATTACAGGAGTGAGCCACCGTGCCTGGCCAACTCATAAAGTTTCTAATGTTGATAGTTATAATAGGGGGAGGTACAAAGTGAGGGAAAAAATTATAATTTTCACTTGTAATTGATCTGTTTTGCCTAAACTTGAATTACTTATAATTCCTTTTATGCTTGGTAACATTTTGGCTGTGTTTAATATTTTTTCCTTTAATATGACATGCTTAAAAATCTCTTCTTTTTTTAATTTTTTGAGACAGGGTCTTGCTCTGTCATGCAGGCTGGAGTACAGTGGTGTAGTCTCAGCTCACTGAAACCTCCACCTCCCAGACTCAAGCAATCCTCCCTCCTCAGCCTTTTGATAGCTGGGACTACAGGTGTGCACCACCACACCTGGCTAATTTTTGTATTTTTTGTAGAGACAGTTTTGCTATATTGCCCATGCTGGTTCTCCTTTTTCTTTTTCTTTTTCTTTTCTTTTTTTTTTTTTTTTTGAGTCGGAGTTTCGCTCTTGTTGCCCAGGCTGGAGTGCAATGGCGCGATCTCGGCTCACCGCAACCTCCGCCTCCTGGGTTCAGGCAATTCTCCTGCCTCAGCCTCCTGAGTAGCTGGGATTACAGGCACACGCCACCATGCCCAGCTAATTTTTAGTATTTTTAGTAGACATGGGGTTTCACCATGTTGACCAGGATGGTCTCGATCTCTTGACCTCGTGATCCACCCGCCTCGGCCTCCCAAAGTGCTGGGATTACAGGCTTGAACCACCGCGCCCGGCCTCTCCTTTTTATTTTTAAGGGCACTCTTTAGGGTAGTATAAGTTTAAGGATGCTTCAGGGAACAGTTTTCTTCCCACCATATTCATAAGAGAGCATCCTACCTGCTTTTACAAGCCTCTGCTTTTGCGTAGTGTTTTCTGCCAGTAGTTCCAGGATATTGGCAGTAATGACCACCGACCCGCTCCAGGCCTTGACTGTATCCGCTTTGCTGGAGGATACCTTCCTACCTTTTACCTCCATGGGGTGATCCTAGCTCTTTGCTAGGTGGGCACCTTAAGGGAGTTGAAGGTCATTGTGCAGTGGCCAGGATTCTGTTTTCCATACAGCAGCACAATTGTATTTGTGGTCAGAATATTCTCTGTGCTTGTAGTTTCCTCCCACTTTCATTATTAATGAAAATAACTGGTATGTCGTGACCTTGGATGACTATATTAGTAGATGTCTAGAATAGGTTTATTATTTTTAAACAAGTCAGTACAAACATGGAAAAAGGACAACACACTTGTCATTTAGTGTGTGAAGGACATGCACTATCAGCATGATTAATAGGAAAGTGGAAAATGTATTGATTAGAAAAAGAAGCAAACCTAGGACACGTAGCTAGAAATACAGTTGTTTTTGAGTTGGGGAAGGGCAGATATGCTCCATTTTTCACTAATTGTGTCTGTTTTGGGACTTTTAAACTTAGGCTTCCCATCGAATGAAAACTCCAGTCAAGTACATGACCGGGACCACTGTCCTTCCATTTAACCCAGCAGCCTTTGGAGAGGTAGGACTTTGATATATTCCTATTTACTTTTTGTAAGTATTCTAAAAAGATTACACCACACCCAAAGAAGTGTCTGTCATTTTGTTTTGTTTTAGGTAAACCCATATTGTGGTATTATTGTTCTTTATTGGGTTATTTTTTAAAAAAATTGGGAAATTGATATTATTTTAATTCATAGTGGAGTATGTAAATGTATTTATCTCCGTGAGATTCTTTTTTGTGAAAGAATTGGATGTTCTGTAATGATTACTGTTGGGATTTTGCAGTAAGTTAGATTTGGGTTTTAAAGCCAACATACTGTTGAGGTTGTTAGGATTATTTAGTTTTGAAGGTTGGAGAGGATTAATTGATCACACTTATTAAGGGAAATTCTATTTTTTAGATCATTGACTTGCACTAAGTAAATTATAAGAGGTAATCTTGTTCAGGGTAAGAATTTTCACAGTGAATCTGCTGCCTATCCTAACCATCAATGAAAAAGCTTCCAGAGGACTCCTTAGTAGTCTGTTTATGTAAGGGTTGTTTTGTGTTTTTGTTTGTTTTGAGAATAGTTCTCACTCTGTCGCCCAGGCTGGAATACAGTGGCGTGATCTTGGCTCATTGCAACCTCGCTTCCTGTGCTGAATCTCTAACCGCAGCCTCTTGAGTAGCCGAGACTACAGGCATGACCTGGCTAATTTTCTTATCTTTTTGGTAGACATGGATTTCACCATGTTTCCCAAGCTGGTCTTGAGCTCCTAGGCTAAAGCAGTTCTCCTGCCTCAGCCTTCCAAAGTGTTACGATTACAGGCATGAGCCCCCACATCTGATCTATATCAGAGGTTTTTATGGTGTTACATCTATTTTTCTGTAGATGATTTGAACCCATTTTCTCAAATTCTTGTCAGTGGAGATTAAACACACTGGAATTCTGTGGGAATAATAGGCTATTTGCTCCAGATTTCTGCCCTTCCCTCCCTTCCTTCCCTCCTTCCCTTCTCCCCACCCGCCACCCCCACAGACACACACAACTTTGACAAAATAATGATTTTTATTATAATTTTTAACTTTTAGGTTTGGGTTTTCATTACCCAGGTATTAAGCCCAATAACCCATAGTGATCTTTTCTGCTCCCCTCCTTCATCCCACCCTGTCTCCTCAAGTAGAACCCAGTGTCTGTTTCCTTCTTTGTGTTCAGAAGTTCTTACCATCTAACTACCACTTAAAAGTGAGAACGGTATTTGATTTTCTGTTCCTGCATTAGTTTGCTAAGGGTAACAGCCTTCAGCTGCAATTTCTGACTTTAAAAGTTGTTTGTATTTTAACGTCATTAAAAAATTATTTGGATTTGCAAACCTTGTTGTATAGATTTTGCTCCATGATAGAATATTTTCAGCTTTCCATGAGGATTGGAATAGCTTTATGAAGAAGCGTGGGGGAATCAAAACTAGAAATTGTTACTTTGAAGAGTACCTTCCCACATTAACTTTTCAAGAAGCTTATCTAGTCTTCCTCTCTGTTCTGTTTGTAGATAGTTCTGTACTTGCGCATGTGCCTCGCGCACAGTGCGGGGGTGGTGCCCACCTCTCAGAGTTTGGCTGATATGCAGGATCATGCCCCAGCCATTGGACGTTACATACGGACTTTAATGTCAGGCGGGCAGGTGGCACCCTCATCATCTTCTAACAAGAGTGGGGAAACTAACCCTGTGCAGATCTACATTGGCCTGCTTCAGCAGCTGTTAGCAGGTGTTGGAGGTAGGAATTTGTGATGCTAAGGAAAGATATTAAAGCACTTAAGCAAAAATCTAATTTTAAACTTAGCTAAGATATATAGCAAAATTATTCTCTCTCTTCTGTAACTGAACATTAGCCTTTGTTTCTTTTTAAATGTTATCTGATTCATTCTAGATATTAATTCTTTTTTCGGAAAGAAATGCTAACAATAGATAATATATTTTTACTTTGGAAGTGGATGTGAAGAACAGGATATCCTTTTAAAGATAGCTAATCTGTAAATTTGCTGTAGTGAATCACACACTATATTTAGGTTGTGTAGGTTTTTTTTTTTTTAATAGAACTGAAAGAATGTGTGTTAAAGCAGTAGCCTTATACTTTAAAGGAATTTAGTGATCCCTGTATGTTCTTTACTTTTCTTGAAACTTAAAGTGGTTCTGAATTCTTACTTAGGTTTACCGGTTATGTACTGTCTGTTGGAAGCTGTGTCAGTGTATCCAGAAAAGCTGGCTACCAAATTTGTAGACAAAACAGAATGGATAAAGGTATGTTCTGCATGTACCTTTTTAAAAAAAAAATTCTATTTCCAAAATAGAACTAAATTAATTAATAGAATTAACCTCATGATTTTTTTTTCCCCCACCAGAATTCATATGACCTTTTCTGCCTTTAGGTCATTTTGAAAACTCTCTCATCATCAGACACTTACTGGGAAGCATGTAGGTCACTATGTCTCATTGACACACCTGGAGGAGAGTGGGAGGTGAATTGAGAAGCATAGGAATAGAATAAAAAAATAATTCCTTTTCTGTTTCAAAAGTTTTTTTTTTTTTTTAAATAAGCAATAGATTTGTGTAGTTTAAATAAAAACTATGAAAATTGTCTCCTTTCCTTTACCATCTCCCACCTACCGAAGTCTCCCAATTTTTGCCCTTTCTGCTCCCCTCCGACAAGGCATATGTCAGTCACTACGTGTATATGGCATCTTTTCTAGAGTTTACTTATGTACATACACATAAAAATGTGCATTTAAAATTTTTGTTTCTTCCTTTTACAAAAAGCAGAATGCTATTCACACAGTTTTATACATTCTTTCACTTAATAGTAGAACCTGGAACTATTCCACTGCAGCTATGGAGAGAGCATCTTGTTTATTGTAACAGCATCTGTTTTTATTGCATGAATGTACTGTAATGTATTCTAGGTTTTTATAGATGGCCATTTAGAGTAAGCACTTCCATTCTGCTACAGTGAATAATCTTTCATCTTGCATATTGAAGAAGTATATGTTTTAGATGGATTCTCCAGAAATGGAATAGCTGGATCAGAGGACATGTGCTCTTGTAATTTTCCTAGATAATGTGACACCCTCCATGTGGGTGGTATCAGTGTACACTTCTACCAGCCGTGTATGAGGGTGCTCCTATCCCATGGCCACACGCAAAGGGCTGCCAAGTTTAACAAACAAAAATACAAGATACTCAATTTGAATTTCAGATAAATAATGAATAATTTTTTTAGCGTAAGTATTGGCCCACACAGTTTTCTGTATCTCCATATGCTACATAAGGCAGTTCTTTTTTTGGAAAATACAGCTTGAATGATGGCAAAAATGTACAAATTATAACTTTAAGTGTGAAAACATGAATGAAATTTACCAAGAGGTGTTAGTTTTGCACATTTCTGGATCATCTGGTCTCATGAAATTGCTTCTAGTTTAAAAAGGAATTTTTATTTCTTACAAATTTATACCGATTTTAAAATGATTTCATAGGTTTTGAGCTTTGTTGTTTTAGATCAGAGGTTGTCATATTATAGTCAAAGGTCAATATGGCCTGCCTCTTGTTTTTATAGGGCTTGCAAGCTAAGAATGGTTTTTACATTTTTAAATGTGGAAAAAAAAATCAAGAAACTAACATTTCATGACACTAACATTTTTCGTGTCCACGTTTTACTGGAACACAGGCATACTCATTTGTTGGGTATTGCCTGTTGCTGCTTTTGCACTGCAGTGGCAGAATGGAGTAGTTACAACAGAGACCAAATGGCCCATAAATCCTTTTCTTTTTTTTTTTTTTGAGACAGAGTCTCAATCTGTTGCCAGGCACCAGGCTGGAGTGCAGTGGCACGATCTTGGATCGCTGTAACCTCTGCCTCCTGGGTTCAAGTAGTTCTCCTGCCTCAGCCTCCCAAGTAGCTGGGACTACAGGTGCACGCCACCACGCCCAGCTAATTTTTTTTTTGTATTTTTGGTAGAGACAGGGTTTCACCATGTTGGCCAGGATGGTCTCGATCTCTTGACTTCGTGATCCACCCACCTCAGCCTCCCAAAGTGCTGGGATTACAGGCGTGACCCACAGCGCCCAGCCCCTTTTTGGTTTTTTATAGAAGTTGCTGATCCTTCTTTTAGATTATCTGTGAATAAATTTCACCTGTTTTGTACTTGTGTTATCTTTGATGAAAATGCACCGAAGATTTTGTTACATAATTTATTCAGCTTTCATTTTGTTTTCAAATACTATCTTGTTTTTTTCTCATGGATATCAATAGATTGAACATTCTTTTAATTTTAAAAGAAGTTTTCAGCAGGCACACGGTTCTATGTCATGTACATATTTTTTTTTTATACTTCTCAGAGTCTGATGAATAGCAGTAAAGAAGAAATGCGTGAACTGGCAGCATTGTTTTATTCTGTGGTGGTATCAACAGTGTCGGGGAGTGAGTTGAAATCAATGATAGAACAGCTTATAAAGACTACAAAAGACAATCACGTATGTTATTTTGTCTTCATTCCTTTTTGTGGGAGGTGGAGTTTTGTAAAAGGATCTAACTTTAGTTTCTGTGTTCTCATTTGTAAAATGAACTTCTAAATTCCTTGCTTTTGTGAATGTAAAGAGTAAATGAGATAGGTAATACATTGGTTCAGTCAGCTCACTTAATGAATATGGGTGCTGTGCCTGAGAAGCACTGTTTTAGGTGCTAGGAGTACAGTGATTCATAAATACGTGAGAATCCCTAGTACAACAGGATGCTCACAGCCTACAGCCATACCACCGTGAACACACCTAATCTCATCTGATCTTGGGAAATAAGCAGGGTCGGGCCTGATTAGTACTGAAAGCGAGAAATGTTAGCTCCTTTTCTCTTCCTCATCTATTGCTGCCAGTAAAAAAACAAGTTTTACTTCAAATAGTTTGTTGGTTACCTTGTGTTTAGAGGTTTTAGCAGTTAGAAATAGGATCTGTTCATTGTCTTCTGTTGGCAATAGGGAGACATTATGTGTGAAAGTTATGGCATTGTAGTTACATAAGTGCTGTAAGCTAGAAAGTGGCATGGGAGCATGTAGGAGCATGTAGGAAAGTCACCTCACCTGGAATTGGAGTGGGCATGGAATTAGAGAATGTAAACCTTAAATCGAATCAAGATTCAGCTCCTCAAAATTCTGTTGGAAACTCAAGGTTTCTCTTGTTCGCTAAGCTTGATGTATTAGCATCTAGTGAAACCTCGAGTGTTTACTTTATTCCTTAGCCTTATGTTTTGTTGGAGAGATGATCCCAATAGACATAAAGATATTGCCGTGTATTCTTGCATATATGAGAGAGAGCCAGAGATATGTTATTGTTTTGTTAAATTCAGAGCCCAGAGATACAGCATGGATCCTTGCTTGCATTGGGATTCACGGTGGGAAGATACTTGGCTAAAAAGAAAATCAGAATGGCAGAGCAACAAGAGAGAAATGCTGACCTCCTCCCTGATCAAGAGGAACTCATTCAGAGTGCTACAGAAACAATAGGTAATTAATGTCTTTATGCTGACGTGGGTGTTGCAATTTTTGAATTATGTTAAATTTTAATATGGCATTTCAGTTTCTTTTTATAGTGTTGTACTTTAAAGACACAAGCTTTTTCACAAAAAACTTACTTGAAAAATTCTGTATTTTTAATAACAACGAAGGCTGAGTGTGGTGGCTCATGCCTGTAATCTCAGTACTTTGGGAGGCCAAGGTGGGAGGATCACTTGAGTTCAGGAGTTTGAGACCAGTCTAGGCAACATAGTTGAGACCTGGCCTCTACAAAAAATAAAATTAGCTGGCTATGGTAGCATGTTCCTGTAGTCTCAACTACTGTGGAGACTAACTAAGGTGGGAGGATCACTGGAGCCTGGGTGGTCGAGGCTGCAGTGAGCTGTGATCATGCCACTGTACTCCAGCTTGGGTAACAGAGCTAGACCCTGTCTCAAACAGAACAAAACAGAAAAAACCAAAGCATTCTTTTTTTTTTTCCTGTACGTTTTTTCCCTACATGTTTTTATAAACAGGGATGATCCTATTATGGGCAAAAATTTATATATTAAAAAAAAAAAACTACTGTACCCCTGTTGCCATGTTATCTTTCCACTGAGTAAATGTTAACAAATTGTCAACTAGAAGATATTGTAGACTTTGATTTTATTTTTCTGTCTCAAAAATAATCTTGAGTATGTCACTGGTTGCTTTGGGTCATAAGGATAATGGTATATGATTCTCTTTTTGGCTAAATGTGCCTATAGGCTCATTTTTGGACAGTACATCACCCCTCCTGGCAATTGCTGCCTGCACAGCCCTGGGTGAAATTGGCAGAAATGGTCCACTCCCAATCCCCAGTGAGGGATCTGGCTTTACCAAATTGCATCTTGTAGAAAGCTTACTAAATAGAATACCTTCCAGTAAAGAGACAAATAAGGTAAGTTTCTTTCTTACTTCTTCTCTTTCTGGAATTCTTTCTATTCATAAATGAGCAAAACCAAATTCTAATGAGAATAGTTGGCATTACAGCTGGAGGAAGGGTTTAATGTAAACATGGGTGATAAAGAAGCAAGCTTGAGTGTTTACTTTTGAGTTAGAGGTGATCTGTGTACAACCTTAGTGTGTGCATCTTTTGACCCAGTCATTCCAATTTAGGTCTTTATAAGTATTACGATTTGAGTGAAATATTAAATTCATTAGGAAATATCTTTTGTCATGCAGAAGGTGTGTAATAAGATGTTAAGTAGTTTTATGATTTTTGTCATTTTACACCAAATATAAATCCTAATCTAAAGCCAGTTTTGAGGTATAAGATTATTTAATGAGCAAAAATATCAGTTTACTGCTACAAGTTTAATTGATATAATCTTAATCTTGGTCTAGCTACTGTTTAAAACTTTCTGAGAAGATATACAGTATAGTTTTTATTAGCTGTTAACTAATCATTGCCAATCATTGTTAAGCACTTGTAATGTACCAAAGAGTGTGTTAAGTGCTTTGCATGTATTGACTGAATCTTTTAAAAGGTCTAGTGAAATAGGCACAGTTATCATCTCTATATGAGATAACATGAGGAAACAGAGTCACAGAGAGTGTGAGTAACTTGCTTAAGGTCACACCCCTGTATAGGCGAAATGGTTGAGATGTGATTTGGTCCTAGGTCTTCCTGGCCCAGAACCCACATTTTAAATTGTTACAGTTTGAAAGGTAATAAGTCCTTAGTGGACTCATATTTGTGTGTTTCTACCTTCAAAGACTTATATACATACTATTGTAAAATTTGATGCTTTTAGAAAAACTTACACGTTGGTATGTTAGATAGACTACCCTTCCTATCATCTCATTTTGGAAATACTGTACTGAGGTTAAGCTATTATATACTCTGTTTAAAAGAAAAAAATTTGGTGTTCTTCCAGATGAAAGAACGAGCAATCCAAACTCTGGGATATTTTCCTGTTGGGGATGGAGATTTTCCTCACCAGAAACTCCTCTTGCAAGGTCTGATGGATTCTGTGGAGGTATTTATATTGCTACCTGATTGTTAGTTATTCAAAGAAAAAGCAGTGTTTTTTTTTTTTTTAGGTACAGTTTTGCCTGCTATGAGATTTTTTTTACGCATTTATTCACTAAATACTTAAGTATTAGTTTTGCGCTCATCACTGTGCTAGGTATAGCATTGACTAAATCACCTATGAGGGAAAGATCTTTTCTTATAATTTTTGAGCAAAGCACAGTGCAGTGTGGTAGAAGGGAAAACATACTCACATACCCAGTCAGCCAGATGGGTGGAGAGAGAGCCATTAAAAAACAGTTGCTCTTGAGTGTTTCAGTTGTTTTCAAGTCTGATGATTTCGCTGCTCTCCTCTAGATGCCTAGTGTAGTAAAGAAGACCTACACGTAGGCAAATGCCAGCAGAGTGCACTAAGTGTCTCATGGCCTGATCTGGCCCCTGCTTTCCTTAGCCTTGATTCTTGACCTTCACTCACTTTCTGTATACCAGCCTCTTTGGCCACCTTGCACTGAGCCTTTGAAAGCCTTCTACTTCCTTCCCAGATTGTTGCTGAGTTCCTTGAAAAGCCTTCTCTGGCCCATTAAACTAGGGTCGATTCTTTAGTTATTTGTGCCACCATGTCTCTCATTCTTTTTCTTCACAGCATTTATCACAGTTTCTAATTGCCCCCTAGGCTACATGCAGACTCTGTTTTGCTGACTGCTGTAAAACAAGTGCCTAGCAGTGTGATTGGTAATAGCAGGACCTCAGTACATATTGACAGACTAAGGGACTGAATGAAGAGAGATTTGTATATAAGGCAGTAGAATCACAAAGGAAGGTGTAATTTTATCAGGAGGAGTTAGTGTACGTTTTTGGAGGTGAGGTTTCTGTTGGGCCTTGAAAGATGGGAGGGAGGAGAGAGAATTGAGGCCAAGGACTGAGGCACCCGAGTAAGAGAGCCAATATTAGTCTGGATTCTGAATTCAGTATTTTTAAGTGAATTTTTTTAGACAACCCCAATCTTCTGGGATGTCATTCACATTGTAACCACTTGGAGAGAAACTTATGATACCGGCTTTTTAAATTTTTTTTTTTTTTTTTAATTCCTGAGCAAGGTGGGTTTCTTCTAGGGTTTTTTTTTCCCCCCAGGAAAAAAAAACGGAGTTTTGCACTGTCTCCCAGCCTGGACTGAAGTGACACAATCTTGGCTCACTGCAGCCTCCACCTACCGGGTTCAAGTGATTCTCCTGCCTCAGCCTCCCATGTAGCTGGGATTACAGGTGCATTCCACCATGCCTGGCTGATTTTTGTATTTTTAGTAGAGACAGGGATTCACCACATTGACCAGGCTGGTCTTGAACTCCTGACCTCAGGTGATCCGCCCACCTTAGCCTTCGAAAGTGCTGGGATTACGGATGTGAGCCACTGTGCCTAGCCTGTTGTGTTTTTTTTTTCAAGGAGGGCTTGTCTGAATTCTTCACTTGCTTTTAATGCCATTATTTTAAGAGTTTAGAAATACATGAAAAACTAGAAATATGGAAATAAGGTAGAGAGATTAGATGATGAGAATAGTGAAAAACATGAAACAGAAGCAGAATATCTTCACAGTCAAGTAGGACACAGTGCTGAAGGTTTTTTGGTTTAACTTTTTATTTATTTTATTTTTACAACAGGATCTTACTCTGTCACCAAGGCTGGAGTATACTGCATCTCCTAGGCTCAAGGCACCCTCCTACGTCAGCATCCTAAGTAGCTGGGACCACAGGCATGCCCTACTATGCCTAGCTAATATTTTAATTTTTTATAGAGACAGTGTATTTCTGTGTTGCCCAGGGAGGTCTTGCACTCCTGGGCTTAAGTGATCTTCCCACCTAGGTCTCCCAAAATGCTGGGATTATTGGTATAAGCCACTGTACCTGGCCCATTTTTATTTATTTATTTATTTTTGAGACAATTTCACTCTTGTTACCCAGGCTGGAGTGCAATGGCGCAATCTCGGCTCACCTCAACCTCCGCCTCTTGGGTTCAGGCAATTCTCCTGCCTCAGCCTCCTGAGTAGCTGGGATTACAGGCACACATGCCACCATGCCCAGCTAATTTTTTGTATTTTTAGTAGAGATGGGGTTTCACTGTGTTGATCAGGATGGTCTCAATCTCTTGAGCTCGTGATCCACCCGCCTCGGCCTCCCAAAGTGCTGGGATTACAGGTGTGAGCCACTGTGCCCAGCCCTCATTTTTAATTTTTAAAAATTGATACATAATAGTTGTACATATTTATAGGATATATGTGATATTTTGATACAAGCATACAATGTATCATGATCCAATTAGGGTAATTGGGATATCCATCGTTTTAAATGTTTATCATTTCTTTGTGTTAGGAGAATTTCAAATTTTTTCTTCTAGTTATTTTGAAATATGCAGTAAATTCTTGTTAACTGTAGTCATTCTATTGTGCTGATGAACACTGAAACTTACTTCTTGTAACTGTATTTTTGTTTCCATTGGTCAAGCTCTCTTTTCTTCCTGGCCTCTGGTAACCACGATTTGTTCACTACCTCCGTGAGTTTGATTTCCTGACATATGAGTGAGAACACAGGATATTTGTTCTGTGCCTGGCTTATTTCACTAAATACAATGTCCTCCAGTTCCATCTACGTTGCTGTCAGCAATAGGGTTTCATTCTTTTTTATGGCTGAATAATACTCCATTGTGTTTATGTACCACTTTTTAAAAATCCATTCATCTGTTAATGAACACTTAAACTGATTTCTTATCTTGGATATTGTTAATAGGACTGCAGTAAACATTGGAGCACAAATATCTCTTCAGTATACAGATTTTCTTTGGGGTATGTACTTAGGATATATACTGGGATTGCTGGGTCATATGATAGTTCTAGTTTTAGTTTTTTGAGGAACCTTCATACTGTTTTCCCTGATGGCTATACTAATTTACATTCCTACCAACAGTGTATTAATGTTCCCTTTTCTTCACATTCTTACTGTCATCTGCTGTTTTCTGTCTTTTTGATAATAGCTATTCTAACTAGGGTGAGATGAGATCTCATTGTACTTTTTCATTGCATTTCCATCGTCAAACTTTTTCATATACCTGTTGGCATTTATTTATTTATTTATTTATTTGAGACGGAGTTTCGCTCTTGTTACCCAGGCTGGAGTGCAATGGCGCGATCTCGGCTCACCGCAACCTCTGCCTCCTGGGTTCAGGCAATTCTCCTGCCTCAGCCTCCTGAGTAGCTGGGATTACAGGCCCGAGCCACCATGCCCAGCTAATTTTTTGTATTTTTAGTAGAGACGGGGTTTCACCATGTCGACCAGGATAGTCTCGACCTCTCGACCTCGTGATCCACCCGCCTTGGCCTCCCAAAGTGCTGGGATTACAGGCTTGAGCCACCGCGCCCGGCCACCTGTTGGCATTTATATACCTTTTTTAGAGAAATAACTATATTCAGATCTTTTGTCCATTTTCAAATCAGATTGTGTATTTGCTGTTGAGTTGATTTCCTTATTTATTGTGGATTTTAATCCCTTGTCAGATGGGTAGTTTTTAGATATTTTTTTCTGTGCTATAGGTTGTCTCTTTACTCTGTTGGATGTTTCCTTTGCTGTGTATAAAGTTTTTCACTTGATATAATCCCATTTGTCAATTTTTGCTTTAGGTGTCTGTGCTTTTGTGATCCTACTTAAGAAATCCATGCCCAGACCAATAACTTGATGTATTTTTCCATATTTTTTTTATGGTAGTCTCATAATTCAGGTCTTAGATTTAAGTTCATTTTGGTTTGATATGGTGAGATAAAGGGGCCTAGTTTCATTTTTCTGCATGTGGATATCTAGTTTTCCTAGCACAATTTATTGAACAGACTGTTCCTTCCTCAATATATGTTCTTGATGCCTTTGTTGAAAATGAGTTGACTGTAAATGGGTAGATTTATTTTTGGGTTCTCTGTTCTGTTCCATTGATGTATGCGTCTGTTTTTATGCCAGTTCTACGCTGTTTTGCTTACCATAGCTTTGTAATATATTTTGAAATCAGGTAATGCAATGCCTCTCTGGCTTTATTCTTTTTGCTTAGTATTTTTTGCTCATGATTTAGGGTCTTTGTGGTTTTATACAAATTTTAAGATTGTTTTTTCTAGTTCTGTGATGAATGTCCTTGATATTTTGATAGGGATTATATTGAATCTGTAGATTGTTTTTGGTAGTATGGAAATTTTAATAATATTTCAATCCATGAACATGAGATATGTTTCTTTTTTGTGTGTTCTTTTAAGTTTTTTATCAGTGTTTTATGGTTTTCATTATAGAGATCTTGTATTTCTTCGGTTGTAATTTATCCCTAGGTATTTTTTTTTTTTTGGTAGCTATTATAAGCGGGGTTACTTTTTTGATTTCTTTTCAGATTATTTGCTGTTGGCATATTAGTCTGTCCTTGCACTGCTGTAACTGGGTAATTTATAAAGGAAAGGAGTTTAATTGACTTGCAGTTCTGCAGGCTGTTCAGGAAGCATGGCTTGGGGGGCCTCAGGAAACTTAAAATCTTGGCAGAAGGTGAAGAGGAAGCAAGCATGTCTTACATGGCATAGGAGCAGTGGAAAAAGAACAAAGGGGGAGATACTACATACTTTTAAACAACCAGATCTCGTGAGAACTCACTATCAGCAGAAGAGTAAGGGGAAAGTTCACCCCCATGAGCCAGTCACCTCCCACCGGGCCTGTCCTCCAACATTGGGGATTACAATTCAGTCATGGGATTTGAGCAGGGACACAAATCCAAACCATATCACATATAGAAATGCAACGGTTTGTATGTTTATTTTGTATCCTGTAACTTACTGAATTTATCAGTTCTAATAGTTTATTGTTTATCTTTTAAAGAACCTGATTTTTCATTTCATTGCTCTTCTGTATTTTTATTAGTCTCAATTTCATTTACTTCTGCTCTGAATTTTATTATTTCTTTCCTCTACTAATTTTGGGTTCGTTTTGTTCTGGCTCTTCT